TAACTGGGGGTGGAGAGCATAACAGCATCAGCGGGCGGGGGCAGTGGATCGAAGTGATTGTAGAAGTTTGTGGGCTGGGTAGTAGGAGCGAACAGCCGCACGCACAGACACCTAGGGTGGCTGGCCCAAAGGGCACATGCAATGGTTTGTGAGCACAAGCTAATGGTGTACATAGACTTTAGAGACACGTTAGAGACAAGCGAGAGATACGTCGACGTCACCGGTGTCAGGACATGCACGTCTGATCCAGTCACCATAAGGTCAGTTAGAGACAGCGTTTGAGCGTCTGAAATCGTCCGCCCAATATGAACCGAGACTTTCCGACCTCAACCGCTCTGACACGACTTTCGCCGACGTAAACCAGCGGAACCCATGTAGGTTCTCACTGAGCGCTCAGTGCAGTCGCAAGGCCCTTGTGGACGTGGTTGATAGGGGAACGCTCGCTCTTGCCGAGTTCTATGTAGTGATTGGCCTCATCTACCAGAGTGCGTTGTGTTATCAACGCGAGCGCGTCCACTACTGACTGGCGGATTAGTTTTGAATAACAATGAGACCCCGATGTCCTCCCGCAAGAATTGTTCCCCCATCATGGCACGGGCTAGAGTCCTCGGTCGATGAGCTTAAGGACATCCTCACGCACGACACTCAAGCTCGTTCTCCTGCTGGCGTCGATCCGGGTCCTACGTTAAAGATGCGGCCACGATCATTCTACAGGCGTCGGCGGCCGTCAAGACACCGCCCCGTACAAGCACAAGGATGAGACACCAGCTGGCGGCTTCCACGAGTACCAGCCTCGCTCGAGGCATGTCGGACGTTCCGCGATCAGGACGACAACCGAGAGGGCTAGCCCCGATGCGGACCTACAAGCTTGAGAACACCGTCGAGATGCTTGATCCGGTCGTTGACGAGAACGCAGTCCAAACGGCCGATAACGATGCCCTCGACCACCTAATCCCGCCCGTCTCCTGCTACCTACGCTGCTATTCGTGCCGTTCAAGGTCTCACTCAGGCTGTGCGTAATATCCTCGACTTTCTAGTCTCTAGACCCGACTGTCCGCCCGCACGCCTTCCCCAATCCAACAGCACACCCGATTGCCCCATGTCTGAGATTCACTACTCCGTCGCCGTCCCCAAATACAGTCAGAATGGCAACTCACGTCCACTTGTGACGCGCATCTTTAGCGCGCTGTCCCAGGAGGGCTCCCGCCCCAGCCCGCACGAGGTCGAAGTCATCGTCGTAGATGACCGCTCGCGTGGTCGACGAACTCTGGCGCGGGGGCTATAACGTGCGCATCATCGTACGGGCGACGGAACGCGACATCAGCAGCACAGTGGTCCCCGGTTTGAGGGAGGCACAGGGTGACAACGTGTTGCGCATGGGCGCGGACTTGCAGGAACACATGTAGCCCTTTCACTTGTCTCTTGCTCTGCCGCAATTGCACTGCGCTGACATAATTTGTAGCGATGCGTAGAGCCCCCTTGAATGTTTTCGCGATGCTCGCCTCCATGTCACCGACGAAACGGTTCGCGCTCGCAGCGCCATTCGCGAAGCGCCGCGATTGACGATGGCTCCCCACTTTACTGTCGCGTCATTTCCAATGGCGCGCGCACGCTGGCGCTCCCTCCCACGTCCGCGAGTGACGCTATGTCAGGCTCCTCCGAAACCTTCGAGGAAGCGGTACGTCCTCTCCCCGTGTCATACCCTCAGGCTCCCATCTTTGTGCGTCTTGTGTCCCCGAACGTTCTTGTTCTGAAGGCGCGCGACCCGATCTCAGACGGGCTGTACTGGTACCGCCTTCGTGGCTTCTTCATCCTTATGTGTTCTGTTTGTTTTCTTTGCATAGACACATGTAACTACTACCACAGTAGAGCAAAATGGAATGGCCGCAACAAGCCTGGGCCCGGGCATCTAGAAAGTGCAAGGACACTCCTCGTGTCATAGTCGAAGACCCCTCTTTATCGAATTCGGTCTCAGACGTGATTTCTGCAAGACCGTGACGTTGAACACAGTGACGGCCCTGCAAGTTCGTACAGTATCGCCTCGCGGATCGCCGTCGAAGATGGGCTACATGTCCCACATTGCAGTGGTGTCCGCCAGCCCCACGAGCTCACCCAGCTTAGGTATCTTCGACGGCCCTGGACCCTCGCCTCCCCGACCGTCCGCCTGCATGTCTATCTCGGCCTCCATCGCCTCAGCATCCTCTTCTGGCAAGCCACGCTTCTTCGGCGTTCCCGGATCACCAACCGGACTCGTCTCGCCCAGAAGTTCGAGCAAAGCGGCCGCACGCTCGCGCTTCTTGCTCGCCTTGATCAAGATCCCGAACAGACTCTGGTTAAACCCGACGCGCTGTAGACCGAGAACCTGGACTGTCGCTGAGCCTTCGCGGTAGAGATTGGTGAGAGACGGCACAAAGGTCTTGATCAGGTTCGATCGATCTTTTGGTCTCTTCGTGTCGGCTACGAGGGTGCGACGGGCGAGGTGTTCGTACATAGCCTGAACGTTGTGAGTGTCATTAGCGTCACCGTCTTGTATGCGACCGGAGAACAGGTTCACTTCGCCAACAATCTCACCAAGTTCGGCCAGCTTCACGGCCCGCGGTCCCCCATGGCAGAAGAATGTGCCCGCGTAGCTGATATCACCACCGTCGACATACAGCAGATCACGCTGTTGCCCCGCGTACGACGTCCACGCTGTAGAGGGCTTGGTCCATGTAGTAGCACCCGTTGCAGGCTTGGGGCTGAACTCGTACTCTGGAAACACAACGAGTGCATGCTGAGAGAGTGGCGCGCACCACTGCAAAAGATCTCCGAAGAACGCAAAGCCGCCGATGCTACATGACCCGAACTGACCGTCAACAACAGGCACGCCTGCGCTCGCGAACAAGGCGCACCATGCTTTTATGGCTGCCTTCGAGAGCAGTGGTAATTTGGTGACATTTCTGAAGACCACTCGGGATTCGAGTTGTTGCGCATCAGGTGTCGCAGTCTCTGGTAAGCCTGAAATGAATGCATGGAACGTCTGCCCAAGGATGAGTGCCATTCGATCTCTTTGGAGCGTGGCAAGCATTCCTAGGACGAACCTGGGCGGGATCGCTCCAACGATGCATGCCGCCACTTGCAGTGGATGTAAACGTTGCGGAGTGACCGTGCACGAATGCAATTAGCTCGTTGCGCATAGTGTCCGCAAGCTGCGCATTCAGCGCTGCGGATGTGGCGAGCTGCGGCTTGAGCTGCTCGTATCTGGTCTTCCAGGTGTTGGCTTCGGCTTGGAGGATGGCAGCGAGGGCGAGAGCCGCATCACGCTCCTTAATTAGGCATTGCAACTCATTTTGGAGCTAGGGATCAGTTCACAGCGTGTGTTCGATAAGGTTAAAGTGAGCTCGGTCAATACCACCTACCGGACTGGCATGAGGTGCGGCACCACGAGATTCGAGGATGGCTACCTTCTCCTTGAGGGAATCGTTCTCCTACAGATAGTGTCAGTGCGTCAATATGAAATTGTGTTATGCGCAAAACATAACGGAAGACTCAAGCGCAGCCTCTAGAGATAAATAACCCAATTCGCTTCAGAGCACCACAATTGTACCTCTAGCGACTGGTTGCGAAGAATCCAGATCATGCTCAGCGAGCGATGCATACCCTAACATGAGATCGCGCGGAAATGAAACTGGGTTGGAACTGACCTGCTTCAACCTATGAACCTCGTCCCGGCTCTCCTTCAACTGTAGGTTGAGAAACCTCACAAACTCCGATGCCAGTCCTTCGTCTGTACCGAGGTCGCCCATGGCAGTTCGAGAGATGGGCTCTAGAGGGCATATGTGTTATGGATTGAGATTGCTATGGATGAAGGTGGTGGGAAAGCATTACCGCAGCAGAAGACAAATCCCAGAAGTCGACTACCTGACACGGCAGGAATTTGGATGAGTCTGATAGGGAAGAGTTCGATGTGAAGGGGACGCAGTAATCAACCTCCCGCAGCTTGCAAAGACATGGAACCCAGGAAGGCCCTGTTCACATAAAAAGTATACTTTGTAGTCACGGGGTGCTCGATTCTCGTCGCTCGTTCATTTCACCGCGCGCTTGATGGTCGCCTACATACCGCTATGTCACTGGAATCTGTCCTTGACGTCCCATGTATTCCGAGAATACTTCCCCAATTTCCTCAGTACTCGTAGATGCATGTTGGATCTCATCCAGGGTCTGCACGCGGCATCTGAGAGTGAGCAGAATATTATATCACTATGGGCACTTACCCCGTCCAATTGAGCGCGTGAAGACGGCAATGGCCGAAGATCAGGTGCCTCTCTTCGTTCCCGACTCGGTAAATAGGAGCCGGACAAGCCGGACCTGATCTGAAATTCCACTACTGAATACAAATACCCCGCACTCTTTTCGGAGTCTCAGACGTCCACCCTCCCGCTGTACTCCGTTCCTTGACTGCTTTCTTTCCGCTCGGACACAGCTCACATTATGCTTGCGAAGGCGACATTTAGAACAGCAAACCTCACGCGAGGGTGCAGGGCCCGCGTGCTTCGCGGCATGTCATCCGCAGATTGGATGAGCAGCCGGATGGCTTCTGGTGCGTATCCCACAATGTCCTCATGTGTCTCTAGTCTGAGCGACATGAAAGGCTACGCCAAGTTTGACTGGGAGGTGTGTCTCCAGTGCCAGCGCATCTGGAGTTCCTGCTCACACAGAATAGGACCAATTAAACCTTGAGAGCCTCCTCACAGAAGAGGAGATCGCTGTTCGGTGCGTGTGCTCGGAGTTACCCTTGTGATCAGCTAATCATGTCTGTCGGCCATACAGCGACACTGCTCGCGCTTTTTGTCAGGCAAGGACGCGTGAAGCTACCTCCCCGTTTGGCCCCTGACCCATCTCCCAGTAGGAGAACCTCCTACCCCGTGTCATCGAGGCTCAGCGGACGGAAGGTACGCTTCGCTCTGGCTTGCGCTCGGCCTGCACAAACGAATCTGCTTTCGTAGAATTCAACCACAACATTCTCCCCTCCATGGGCGAGCTCGGGCTCCTCGGGCCGACCATCAAGGGGTACGACTGTGCGGGCGTGAGCAGCGTTGCGTACGGTCTCATTGCGCGCGAGGTGGAGCGGTGCGTCCTGACCGTGCTTACACACGATGCTCGTGTTCTGACTGCATGTATCTAGTGTCGACTCAGGATACCGCTCGACGATGTCCGTGCAATCGTCGCTCGTGATGCATCCCATATACGCGTATGGGACCAAGGAGCAGAAGGAGAAGTACCTCCCTCTTCTAGGTACGCGTAAGTGAGCGAGTAAACTGGTAAGTCGCTAATAACGTGGCTAGCCAAGGGCAAAATCATTGGTTGTTTCGTGAGTCACTTCCTTCAATCTGCTCCCTGTCTACTCCTACGTGCGTCCTGCTTGACCCACTATTGCATGCGTGAAAGCTTGCATGCACACGAAATAGGCTGTCATACGACTGTGTACAAGCGTTACTGTCAGGGATGTAGCGCATCACAGCGAGTCTCGTCGCGGCTCTCCGATTGCAGTAACGACGCTGTCGTTCTTCAGATCCCACAGTCAGCCTCCACTATCATTGCTAACCATGACATTCAGGGTCTGACCGAACCAAACCACGGATCCGACCCAGCGGGTATGGAGACGACAGCGACAGAAGTTGATGGCGGCTATGTGATCAACGGCGCGAAGACATGGATATCCAACGCCCCTGTCGCGTATGTCCACTTTCGCCTCAGTTGACCATGATGTGGCACTGAGACCTCCACGCAGCGACATCTTCGTCGTCTGGGCACGCTGCAAGTGGGACAACAAGGTCCGCGGCTTCATCCTCGAGAAGGGCAGCAAAGGCCTTTCCGCCCCGGCGATCAAGCACAAGCTCGCCCTGCGCTGCTCACTCACAGGCTCCATCTTCATGGACAACGTATCCGTTGGCCACGACGCGCTTCTCCCTCACGGCTCGGGGCTCGGGGCGCCGTTCGGGTGCCTGAACAACGCGCGGTACGGGATCTCGTGGGGCGCGATGGGTGCGCTCGAGGACTGCGTGCACCGGACGCGGTCGTACGCCCTAGAGCGGCACCAGTTCAAGCGGCCGCTGGCGAGCTTCCAGCTAGTGCAGAAGAAGCTGGTGGACGCGCAGACGGAGGTGTCGCTGGGGCTGCTGGCGAGCTTGCAAGTGGGGCGGCTGAAGGACGAGGGCAAAGCTGCGCCGGAGATGATCAGTCTCGTGAAGCGGAACAATTGCGGGAAGGCGCTGGAGCACGCGAGAAGGGTGTTGGATATACTGGGGGGCAATGCTTGCTCGGACGAGTGCGTGCAGTGCTTGGCCTCGTGTTCCGGGACAAAGACTAATGAGCACCGTTCCAGGTACCATGTTGGCAGGCATGTCGCAAACCTTCAGGTCGTAAATACATATGAGGGGACCTATGTGAGTCCAGCACCAGCCAATGTGGAACTGCGATAACTGACCTGATGCGACTTTGCATAGGATATCCACACACTCATTCTGGGCAAAGCGCTCACGGGGATTCAGGCCTTCGCTAATTAAATAGCGTAGTTGTCGAGCTAAGGGTCTGCCTAGCATCTGTACTTGATTCGCAGTGCACCATTGGAGCCCTACACAATCTACGTTCATAATGTCTGCATCCAATCCCACTACTATTGCGAGAAATGTCTTCAATGGCGTGTCAAATTCTCGATCTTCCTGCAACTCGCGATTCACGCTTCGTGATTGTGATGATCCAGCGAGACAGTGGGTGTTGTCAGGAAAGGTTCATCCGTGGATATGATCCTACAAAACCAGATCAACTCGTGCACCACTCTCCGACGGTCCTTCGGGGTACGAAACTTCCAGGAGGTTGTCTGCAATCTCCTTGCATCATCCTCTTTCGTTTCCCCAAAGCTTTATGTGCCCTTCAACACCACTGTCCCCAAGGGTTCGAGGGACCGCATCCGACGTGGGATAATATAATGTTTAGACGTAAAAGGTGACCTCAGGAGCAGACAGACTGAGCGGAGGCTGAAATATCATTATTTCACTTGGATTGGGCTCCAAAGTCGTGGAATAATTTACTTATATATAACACCATGAACAACGGCACCAGAGATATGGGGATGCGATGGAGATGTGCAGAATGACATGAAGATGGCAAAAGCCGAATATCCGGCAACACCCAGAATCATAACCACACAACTCCATCCTGAGGAGGGGGGAAGGTCTGAGGGACGCAGGAGGGTTGGTTCGGAGACAACCACCAGCTGAGGGAGAATTGCATGGGCGCGTTTGGGGGCGACTGGTTCTCGGTCGCGTTCCACGAGGGCTGGTGACTGCAGAACGGTACGAACCCCGAGATCGAGTCCCCTCCGGCCCATGACATAGCATCTGGCACGGTCGCGAAAAATAGGCCCGGAGGCGGAGGCGGGTATGTAGGCATTTGTGGGGATGAACGCGAGGACGACAACGACGTTGATGATGGCGTCTTGGGCGGCGACGGGTTTGAGTCATAGCTATCGAAGTAGCTACAAGATGATGTTGATGCCGAGGATGTCGCTGCTGAGGTATATAATAAGAAGAGCGTGAGGAACACGCACGCCTAAAGTCTCATGGAGTAGAACAGTATCGCACTAACCGAAGTCTGCTGGGAACGGGCGGTGGTCCCTCTCATACGGCGTCATGGGATAGTGCGCCGGTTTCGCTCTGTCCACCCTTCTTGTCTTTCCCATCTGCTCTGCCTTCTCCGCCATCTTCGCCATCTTCGCCATCTTCGCCTTCCCCGTCTTCTCCGCCTTCTCTTGTCTATCCGCCTTCTTCTTCTGCTTTAACATGGCCTGGTGCTCAGGAGTCCACCATTCGGGATGAAGCAGTTGGTGCAGGGACCGAACATCGCTCGCTATGCGTTCCCAGCAGAGTCTGTCCTCGACTGTCGCAAGTTCCTGCCACACGCGCCCAGCCTGGGTGGAGACTGTATTCTGGTGCTCCCGTTTGCTCCCAGCGGCCTCCCCTAATTCCCGGACATAGGCGTTGTACCACTTACGGAAGCAGATGAAGGCATTCGGTGGGTGTCTGACGCGCCTATCTTGTGTTTCCACGAGGTACAGTATCTTCTCCTCATACTCGGCAGAGGTGGGATGCGGGAAGGAATGCAATGCTTCGGCCATAGCGAGAAATCTGGGCTGACTGCGGTCAATACGTGTAGTTCGTCACAGGGCACGGTGGCAGCGGCGGCACCTACGTGTCTTCGAGACGTCGAAAGGGTTTGGAAGAAAGACGTAGAGGTTACGGGGTGACAAGCTGGTATGGAGCGGTAGCGGATGGCAGCTCGACCACTCGAGCTCCGATTTAAATTGTTTCGGCCCTGGAGTAAAGCTGGGAGCTAGCGCAAACTTGACCACATAGGGGTCAGGTGTCACAATAACCGACCATTGTCCTCTTCCGCCACGACAGAGCGACATGCCCGCGGGCGAAAGGGGATCGCGGTCGTACCTTGATGTGGGTGCCGAGAAGTGTGGGTTTGGGGGATCAGCATGCCTCACTGCGCGAGCACCCTCACCGTGACTCTGGAGGAGTAGTTTCTAAGCGCGTCGATGCATGATCTACGCAAAGCGCAAAGGGAAGTAGCCGCTAGACGACGAGAGCTTGATCCATTACCCTGACAGGTGCCTCTTTATCATCCGATTCTCACGGAGTCGAATACGCAGGTAGGGCAGACACCGCGCTTGCCCACAGCGTACGAGCCATGGCAAGAACAGACCCTGACTGAGCCCAGACGCCGCCATTTGAATCAAGAAATGATAGGGAGTATAAGAAGAAAGTTAGAGGCATTATCCGGGTGTGGAACAAACCCACCTCGTACCATTGACGTCGCCACGCTACTGCACTGGGGATGCCAGCAGGATGTGTCGGCGCAACGGGTGCGTGCGGGTAGTTCTTCGTGCGTGAAAAGAAAAAGTGTAGGCATTGCCCCAGTCGCGATAAAGTCATTTCTTGGCCTTGCAGACGTAGCCAGGGAATCATCCACGTACTATGCCAGTCTCAGTCTCCCGCACATGCACATCTGCATTCTACGGCGCCGGACCTATCGTCCAGCCAAAAAGATTGGGCACTCCCGTGCCTGGAATCCCTCAGGTAGCGAAGACACTAGCCGTCTTTGAGAAGGGTAGCGCCACAATGAGTAGAGCACTGGCCGTTGACAATTGAACCCGACAGAGCTTACTTATTTTGGTCCCACCTTCCTCCAGGCTTTTGTCCGCGTCTAGACCCGACATTCAGGCGCAAATGAATGGCCGCCTCACCGCCCTTTATGGATCCCTGGGCCGATGGTTGCATTGTCCCGGCACGTACAATACCATCGTAACGGTTGCGAAGGCATCGCGCCTCCTCGCGGACGATTCGTCCGACACTAATGTGGCCAGAGGGACCAATCGACACGACAGACGGATGAGGTGGGTGCTTACTTCAGCACCGTCGCTTCGCGAGGGACAAGCTCCCCTTGGGTGACGGAGCATATTAGCAGTAGGGGTCGTTGGGGTTTCTACTTACAAACGAGAATGAGCTATATCGATTCGCCCACGATGAGAGGCGGAGCGGTTTGCTACGCAGTTCCACTCGAAGCCGACTGGCGATCGGGTCTGGGAAGCTGTCCGACAACAAACAGCCACGAACCTTTCATAGTCGACGCGTCACCGTGAGCGAAAACGAAGACGAGCACGAACCTCCCTGCTCGCCTATTTCCTGCCTCGGCTCAAGTAGGTGGTAGGCGAGCACGAGGTCTCACAGACGTAATATACGACTTCGACAAGCCAGATGACCGATGGTTTCGCCGCGGAGCTTCACCTCGTCATTGTTGCCTTGTAGCGCCACTATCACTTACGTTGCATTCCCCTTCCCACCCTACTTACGTTGTCTCCCATCAGAAACTCCCTGTTCTCTCCTGTGCCCGAATGCATTGCGAAGGCGGATACTGTCGTCAAAGTGGAAACACTCGGGCAGCATCAGCCACGGGCAGCTCCGAGGAGCCTCTGCATTAGATTTACGGGAGTGCGATATCTGCAAGAGGGATGAGGAGGGACGGTGATTTGCGGAATTTGGGCGCATGCAGAGCCGCTGCCCGATCGCGATCGCCAGTCTTGTCAGCGAGGTCTTGTCTGGCATGGCTGGCAGGACGCGTGGTTTCCAATCCCATGATAGAGGGCTGTGTCTCGTGGATTGTTGAGGTTGTATTTGTCGAGTCAGCGAGCGCATTCTGCTGAGCGAAGAGTCCGCGCATACCTGTCGGAGTGGACGCCGCTAATCCGTAACTCCGCGGACGCATCTCTGATCTCTTCCAGCGCGTGGCTCTTGTCCTTGACCTTCTCCGAATTCACTAACAAAGAACATACGTGGATGAAGTTGTTCGAAATTGCGACTCAAAAGGGCGTAATAACAAAACGAGTCCAATCGACAGCTTGCGAAATCTCTTGTTAGCGCTTGCATTATGTCATTATTGCGTGGGCGCTCCAGGCAATCGTCTCCGAGTGTCGACTGTCGATGACCATCGTCTGTGGTTGAATGTCGAGGTAACCGCCCCACCAGCTCAGCTTTGAGACGAGATGTGGTTGTATGTTTTTGGGACCTGTGAAAATCAGCCGGGAGCCGCAAGACTACATACTCTCGACGCTCGTCTGCTTCGCGAGTGTATCTGATGAGGCTGACATCGTCACGCTATGTGCTGCCATAGCGGTAAGCTTCTATCGTGCCCTGTGTTTCCCCCTCTGTTACTTACCAGAAAGACCTCTGATACAGATGCTTATATATGGTCATGAACTCTCGCGATTCTGATCCGCCCCTGAGAAAACGAATACAACTTGTGGCAGGGCACACAGCGCAATGCACGGACACCACGTGTATCCAGGTCTTTGCGGTACTGACTTATATAGCGATCTCAGGTGGAACGAGAGGCCCTGGTCTCTTTCCCCCTTCCTCCACACTCCCATGCTCCACAGAGACCAGGGCGCGTGCATGGCTAGCGAGTAGGCCTTCCCCACACACTCTCTGCCGAAGGTCGTTGATGTGTGCACGGTACAGGAGTATCTCGTTCACTGATACACTCCATAGTCGTGTTCCCGAGACCTCCGGGCTTCGCTCACAGCGTATCACGTCCAAGGTACGTGCGAGTTCTAGACCTCGCGCGGCACCCCCGAAGAGCAAGGATCGCCAGCGGGTCAGACAGCCGGCAAACTCCTTCATGCTCTTCCGCTCGACGTACGTGAGAGATCCCGTCAACCGAGTCTCGGCCGATGGCCGTACCAAACGGCAAGAGGAGTTAACCAAGGAGGCAAGCGTCGCGTGGCGGAAGCTCTCTCAGGCTGAGCGCGATACCTATCAAGTCGCCGCCCGTCAGAAGATGGAGGACCATAAGGCCAAGTACCCGCAATACTGGTCCAGCCGAAGAGCAAAAAACGGCAGGTTCACTCACGCTGACGCTGAGAACGCGCAGGGAAGTTCTATCGAGAATTCGCAACCAGGACACGAGGCGATGCTCAGCGCCCGCTCGCGCCGCTCGAGCTTGACCTCCGCTTTGTCCCCGCTGCCGGACGCTCCTTCCCCCTACCCTTCCTCCGGCTCTTCGTCCAGCTCTCGAGACTGTCCTACTCCCCCATATCTGCCACTGCCACCTCTCCCTCTAACGCATGATATTCCCTTCATGTACCTCGCTGGTGAGGAGGGATCCCTCTACGACCCAGTCATCGACGCGCCAGTGTTTGCCCTACTCTTTGGTTCTCCAGATTCCTGGTTGTCAGTGGACTCTTCTGGTCCCCCTACTTCCGCCGCCCTGGGTTCTTGCTTCGGCGCTACAAAGGAAACTCTCGCGCCGAAGTCCCAGTCAACAATCTCATATGAAGATTGGGCCTTCACCGAAGGCGAAGACCTGATCGATCCTAACGCGGTCGCGCCCCACGACGCCACGTTCTCCACGGCTCTCTAGCCTCCCCAAGACCCCTCAGCTCGAATCAAGGTGGCGTGGTCCACCCTATCTCTATCATTTCCCTCTCTTGGATTGTATATATCTCTGCTCGTCGTCGCCCGCAGCATAAAACCACCAAATCCCACAAACCACGAGTCAAGTCAAACGCTCTTATCTCTCTCAGTCTCCCTTTTCCATCTCTCTACTCCCGTCCACCGATGTTATTTCTCTATATCGACACTCTATGGCTACCCGCAATCGGTTCCTCCAGAGTCCCATCTGGCGCCCGGAGCGCTTGAGGGCTTGCTGAGCTCGCGTTCGCTGCCCGGATTCGAGAGACGTCTCAGATCGGGACCGCTCGCTTGAACACGCTCGCCATGGAACGTTGTGAGGCCGCTTCTGATGTTTAACTATCCATCGCCAGAGCGCAAGGCTACACGCGACTACCGCCTGATCACCGGAGTCACCGCTTCGCCCGCTGTTGCCCTTTATCCGTTCATCCTCGTCCTACACACCTCAACACTGTGAAACTTCCAGGTCTAGCGTGGACACGTGCATTTTCAGCACATGTTCGCCTCGTATAACTTCGCACGACCGCGGATTTTTGCTTGTTTCGTATGAGAGCTTGCTCTCGGGCGACACTACCGACCCCTTCGACTTCCTCGACATCTTTCCAGCGTTATATTGATTTATGCGCAGCGCGCTTCAGGTCCGCATCTGACATGTCATATCTGTTGGCGTTCACCCACTGCCCTTCTCGATCGCCTCACTTTCTTCGTCGACCTTCACTAGGTCGAGTCCTACCTTGCCTCGACTCTGTGCCTTTCCAACCCACCCGCTTCCACCCCTCTTCCCTGTCCCCGCCTTCCACTCTCCATACCACATCCTCCGTCGGTCCTATCGCTGGCCACCTCTACGCCACAAGCAACCCTGCTCCCTTCGATTCTCCGCTTCACCCATCGTCATGTTCCACCCGTACACGTCTCCCGACGTCTCCCTCCCGGTTTCAACGATCGTCCACAATCACCTTTTCTTCCCGGTATGCCCATCATGGATCCACATGCGCTTACCGTTGTGAACTCCCGTTCGCTCACATCGCTATCCCACAACGAACCCGGGTTCTATAGCATAGTATCTTATCCTTCGCACTTGTATCACCTCACGCATCATTCATCCTTTCCTGTTCCATACATACGGACAACGCACGGACATCATGTAGCCCTAGCCTCTCACATCAGACGATTCTGCACACACCACACCACACTCCACCACCGTACTACCGCACCACATCACATGTACACTACACCACTCATTATAATCCTGTACACTAGACTCTTAGGCTCCGTTCGGTATGTTGGGTTAGAGTAGGATAGGTCTAGTTTTTCCTGCCAAACCGCCGTAGGGGCCGCCCGGAGCGTTCCCATCACTGAGCGGCTACGGCGATTTTGGCTGGTCAACTAACCCTATCCTAATCCTATCCGACGTACCGAACGGGGCCGTACAGTACATCATACGACAATCCAATAGTACAATACAGTGTATACTTGCTTCTTACATCATACTATTATGTCTCGCGCTACTATTAAGAATGGGTAAACATACCCGGTAAAGAGACTTGTGATCTCACTTAGCTCTCGCATCAAGGGACAGTAGCAACTAGTCCTAATTACCAGTAGCGTGCCCAGCAAACATATCGTATTGTAGTGTCAAGTACTCATCCTGAAGGCAGACCGTATGCACGCATACTTCGAACAGATGGCCCTGAGGTATCTTGCAGCCACACAATCCTGAGTCAAGCAGCAGGGGCACAAGGCTGACGCGATCTATTCAGCGTAATTAACCGAGACTAGTATACTTTCTTCCTCTAATGGCCCCCTCACCTTAAGCACGTACGCAGGCGAGAATTCACCACTTCCCACCCATGAGCTTCATCAGCCGGTCCCTCAGCGTCGTCACATCCACCTCCTTCGCCTCCTCTGTCCTCCGCCCTGCCTCTTCCTGCTCCTCTGACTCCGCCGCTTCCTCCGCCCTGAGCACCTGCGGCACAGGGATCCGCGCATTGCGCCTCGCACGTTCTAGGATCTTCTCCCGGCGCGACGACAACCGCGTCGTCGTCGCGTCCTTATGGATAGCAGCCGCGAAAGGACAGCTCCGTTGCACCACAGCCGCCTCCTCCTCCTCTGCACCCCTCACCAGCATCTCCCCGATCTCCTTCTCCCTCTCCCGAGCATGCTTCTCATCCTCTTCCATCCTCCTTTCCGCCTCTGCCCTCTCCGCCTCCTCGTCTGCGACCCTCAGCGAGCTTTGTTTCTGCGCCTCCTCCTGTTCGCGCGCCGCCCGCCGAGGATCCTTGAGCGCCCATTCGCGCCACTTCTCCACCGCAGCAGTCATCAGCGGCGGCACGGGGCGATCGTCCGACCCGGGTTGAGGGGTGTAGAAGCCGCCCCAGTCGTAGAACGCGGGACCGAAGTGCCGGTGCGGGTAGAGCGAGTGACTGCGGGGGAACTCGGCAGTGTCGCGTTCTGTTCGACCGAGGATAGGTTAGCTTGGGACCTGGGCTATGATCTGGGCGATGGAGAACGAGGACGCACTGGCACGCTGCACGATGACCTCGACCATCCTCGTCTGTCTCTTCGTTCCCTCCGAGGTTTCAGGTGGAAGGACGGAGACGGGTGGCCCATAGATGCCATGCTTGATCTCCTCTAGCTCGGGATCGAGCTCTTGGGGCTCCAGGAGCCCGGCGAGGTCGGCGAGGCCGATACCCCCCGGGACCGCGGCTTTGACGACGGGGACCTCGATCTTGATGTTGGTGCCGGCGGCGGGGATGCGGTCGAAGGAGGCGTCGTCGGCGAACTCAAACATGAAATAGTTGAGGTATTTTGAGGTCACGTCATGATCCTGTGGTGGCGATCAGTACACGTGTAGAGAGAGGGTGAAGAGGGAAAGTTGTGAGAGACCAGAGGTCGCTTCCGCGATTACAACAGGGTGAATTTGTGGGAGCCAGGGAGAAATTTCCTAGGCTATTTTCACGTCGCTCGAGATACAATCCCTTGGATCTCGAGCAGAGGTGGGGTATGCGGAGAGGTGGCCACCTCCCTGAGGCGGCAATGATTATAGGTACCAGCGAATGAGAAACCACTATTCGGGCGTTGTGTCGGGTGCAAGGACCTCTTGCGCACTCGCTCGGGAAGAAGTGGAGTACGGGCTCGGGCGATCTCGCCTCCACTTTGAGCCTCTGTTTCGTGGCCCGAGCTTTGGCAAATATACCCTGATGCGCAAGATTAAATGATCGGGATGTCATTCACGAATAGAGTCCTTTCGCAGCCAATTCAAAACCGGATTGGGTCTGCCCAATCTCTGAATTGGTGGTGCAGTGGATACCTTGTCAAGCGCGCTATTGCGCAACGATTATTGGCCGCCAAAGGGATGTGCGAGGGACACACCTCAGCTGATTCTGAACTGGGAGCGCTGACAAATTGAACTACCCCACCGGTTTCGAATCGCCTGCGAAAGGACTCTAATACATTGGTCCTCGGTATGGCAAGTGAAAATGGCCGACGAATACACAGAAGTGGATGACATGAATACAACTCACCCTACCAACCCTAAACTCCTTCACGGTTCCGAACCTCCTCTCCACCCCGCGCAGAATGGCAAAGAATTCAGGCATGGTGCTGATGTCGTCCCATGCCCTGACGTAGATCGACTTCACGTCGTGATGGCTCACATTAGCTTGTTGCCTTGGTCGCGCTGAGCTGCCGGTGCGGTCTTGAGCAGGAAGAAAGTCGGTCGCAGAACTTGAAGAGCCCGAGGCGAATGTCTCGGTAGCGAAAGCCCGCGCACCACGTAGTGCGGATACTGCGCGAGCTGACCGAGCACATGCAGCCGCTATTGACGACATTTTGCAGCCAAGGTGTGCAAAGACGCGAGAAGAGTAGCAGCTGGGGAGCACAAGAGCAGTCCTCGCGGGTGGCTACGGTCGACAGCAAACTCCTGTGGGAGGGCCGTAGCGCCTACATGCATGGGCGCTCATATGGGTCTGCTTGAATTCGTAGACGACCTCCACCGTCGACATATCAGCTGGCCTTCGACACACGACGTAGCGGTCGTATCATGGTCTGCGAGGCTGGTAAGCGACTAACATAGAACAGGTGATCCTGCAAAAATAGACTGTTCAACCACTCCTCAGATATCTCAGCCCAATATCTAGAACTGGATTTGCCTCGCTCTCGAACTCTTCCGCAAATCAGAAGCCATGCGGTCACAAGGAATTGTACAGATCATCCGAAACAAGGAACGCGGGTGGATAAGTGACAGCATATGTACGTTCTCCCCCGTGGGGAGCATTGCTCATTATCAGCCAATCGTCGAATGAGCCCCAGCCTGGATGGCGTGCTAGCGAGCAAGCATTTACTCCGTGCCCCCGTACCTCATCTCGCCCGTCCCTCGCCCTCCGTTCTGTCCGATCCTCTCTACTCATCCCATCTGCTCGCCATCTACCATCGAGCTCACAATGACCGACTCAATCGAACGTGGTCTTCTCCGCTCTCTCTCCAACTACCCCGCCCGGGACGAGACTGTACACATTGGGACAACCTTCACAGGTGCGCGTCGTTCTCATTTCAAAGGGAGCTATGAGCACATCAGTACAAGGTCTTGCCAGCTTCGGTTAATAGGCAGCATCCGTGTGGCAGCCTAACGTCTATTCGTCTAACTGTTATGCGCGCTCATCAGGCCCCTTGTCTCAAACCACCCATCCTCCTCCTCACCACAGCTCTACTACTGCCACCCATACCGTCCTGAAACAACGCTGATCTTTCTTTCTCATGTCCAGACCCTTCGACGCAGTTAAGCGCGATCCTCAACGCGCCTAATGCCGACGAGCAGCTCCGCGACCTCGCGCGCCTGGTCTCTGAACGCGGCGTGGTCTTCTTCAAGGACCAGGACATCAAGATCGAGGACCAGCTCAAGCTCGCCGACCGTCTTGGCCGTCTGTCGGGCAAGCCTGAGACATCGGGCCTGCACATCCATCCCGTCTCGGAGACTACGGCCGAGTTTGGGCCGGAGGTGAGCGTGATCTCAAGCAAGAGTGCGTGTTTGCGCTTGCGTTATCCTGGTGTAGCGTGTTGGCGTTTGTGCTGACATGAGGTTATTCGTGGTGCTGTACGGGAACAGATGGCATTGCACGCGCGGGCGTCAATGAGCACACGCGCGCGAGCACGGGCTGGCACGCGGATATTACCTTCGAAAAGGTCCCCTCCGATTATGCTGTGAGTGTCGTGTTACTCCTGTGTTTCACATCAATCGCATCTGACACCGCCATCCAACATTTACAGATCCTCAAAATCCACACTCTTCCCAAGGGTAAGCACACCAGTCTTGCTTGCGTTTGAGCTCATAGTTCGACCTCAACTTCTCATATTCATAGTCGGCGGTGATACCCTCGTAAGTTGTCCCTCTCGCTCGTCTCTTCGCTGATTCTCAGTGTATTGCTACTTGCTATAGTGGGCGAGCGGCTACGAGGCCTACGATCGCCTCTCCCCAGCCTTCAAGCGTTTCCTCGAGGGCCTGACTGCTGTACATAACGCGGACTTCTTCAACGAGGTGAATCCATCTGTATTCTGCATCGCCTCTTCCAGCAGACGGCCCGATTAACTTCAAAATGGCATAACACAGTATGCGAAGGCGAAGGGTGTCAAAATCCAGGACCCGCGCGGCTCGCCTCTCAACAAGGGCGAGAACCTCACCGCTGTCCAGTACGCTATCCTTCGTCCTTCTCGTGGTCAATTCTGACCACATCCTCCGACAGCCCTGTGATCCGCACGAATCCCGTGACGGGCTACAAAACGCTCTACGTCAACCGCACCTTCACCAAACGCATCCTCGAGCTCACTCCCGACGAGTCCGACGACGTCCTCCAGTACCTATTCCGGCACGTCGCGGAGAACCACGACCTGCAGGTGCGCTACAGGTGGGGCAAGAACGATGTCGCGATCTGGGACAACCGCTCGACGTTCCACACTGCGACGCTTGATTATGGCAAGGAGGACCGGGAGGGAAACCGGGCGGTGAGTCTGGGCGAAGTGCCGTATTTTGACCCCAAGAGCAAGAGTAGGCGAGAGGCGCTCGGGTTGTGAGGTGCGACATGAACTGAACTATCGGTGCTTGTTTGTGCCGGAAGTTGGATGCCCTTGAGGTTGTAAAATAGAGGAATGCATAAACTTCGGTACGGAGGAAGAATCATCATGATATTTAAACCATTCAATCGGTGCATGGGTTGGTATACTCGTGATGTTCATGGCGGAACGCAAGATGCAGTATACATCTCCGACAGCGAACGACTGAGTAGCCGTCACTTACCACGTTCGCCTACCTGGAGCAGCCCCTTGTATTCTTGTCGTAGTACCATGGACGAAGAACACATCTTTTGATAGGACACAGAGAGCTTTCCAAATGGCCCAGCAGCCATCCCGGTGATTATTTTGGTAGCGCGAACCCCCAACTCCTCATAATCCTGACAATATGCAGTACCTACTTATATAAGTTAAGCCCGGCATTCGACCTTACAACTAGACGGCGCAGTGCAAAATGCAAGTACATCGAGCATGCACTATAATGCATTACTCGCGCACGTGAACGCAGATCCGTACGCCGACGCGCGATACGAGTCGACTATGCTCTGCACTGACGCGTACGTGCCGGCGACCATGATGAAAATGCCGACGAGGATGATGAAGTAGTTGAGCGCCGTCTGCAGTGACCGCCAGAGCCCCGCCCACCGCTCCTTGCCCGGGTACAGCGTCATGTACGCGAGGCCCCAGAAGATGAAGCCGAACCAGCAGTCTGCGTAGGCGCACCCGTAGGTCAGCGAACACGCTCGCAGGGGAAGCAGAGGAGACGCACCGAAGAGCGAGCACATCAACGACAGCATGTCCGAGAAGAACGGGATAACCTCCGCGATCACGAACGCGATGATCCAATTTACGACGATGATCGCCACCCACGTGCTCCACCCCTTCACGGTGTTTGTGTATCGGTGGTGCGACTCCTTGAAGATGCGGAAGAACAGGAATCGCGCCGTCACGCTCCCGTATAGCGCCCCGAGGAAGACGATGGTGGGGATGGCGAACGAGAACGCGATCTTCTTGTAGAGGGGCGAGAGCGAGCCGAACGCGGGTGCGGTCATGTACTGGTTGCCGGTCCAGTGGTAGACGAGCGCGCCGCAGAGGGTGAAGACGACCATTTCGGCGATCGAGACTGCCCAAAGAGCCTTGGGGAAGTCTTTGGGCTCTTTCATTTCCGCAATGAACTGCACGCGTACTCGCGGTCAGCGTGGGCGGATGAGTGACAGAACGGGCAGACGTACGGAAGGAAGAGTGATTTGCCCAACGAACGTGTAGGTGATGTTCATGAACGCGCTCATGCCGGCCACGAACGTCGTGCCTTTGACGGGCCAGGCGGTGACAATCGGGTCTGCACCTGGTGTCCAGCCGAATGGATGTTCCTCAACACCTGCGAAGATAATCGCAAGCAGTACAGCTACAACAGTTGGTGAGCGGCGAAACCAACCCACACGCGACAGCCCTGCTCACCGATTCCCATCGTGATGGCGGAGAACGTGCCAAGGTACGACAGCTCATTGAGCGTACGCGGAAGCGTGAAGATGATGCAGATGAGCGTCGAAACGACAGAGAACACAATTGTGCACGCCGCGGAGTTGGTAAGGGTGTTCAGGAGCTTCGCGCCGACGAGAACGTGAAGGGCTGTGCTCGCGAAGTCAGCATATCGGAATGTGATGAACGAACCACTTCGCAAAGCTTACCCTGAATGAACGTGTTGTTCAGGAGGAAGAACACAGCCGTGGCATTGTATGCCCACTTTGAGCCTCCGAACAGTGCCTGACCTATGTCGCACACGTCACGAACTATGGCGGAGTAGTCAGTCGAACATTGGATTAAGTTCAATGATTAGGCGCACGTACTCTCAGGGTGTTTCATGCAATATCTCCAGAGCGCGAGCGACGTATACAGGACCGAGACCGCGACGACGAGCGTCAAGATGATGCCCGGTACGAGCCCGAGGACGGAGTATGACCACGGGAAGCTACGTCACCGCAAATATGTAGTACGGTAACACAGACGTACATAACAGGCGAGGCGACAGATATGAGCCGATCAGACGCGAAGCATGGGACAAGCACGTCAGTTCCCCATGCAGTGTGATACAAAGCCTGACAAATCTGGACTCACGAGAGGATGGCCAAGCAGATATACTCCGAAAATAGCAGGGCGGCAGTCTGTTTGTGGGGACCCGCGAAGCATCAGTACCAGTTTGCGATACATAAGCACCCACAACTCCCGGATGGTCGGCCGAGAAAAAGAAGAAAGAAGCCGCGGAGCGGGGAGTGGAAGCAGGACAACGGACCTTCTGCCATGAGCACGAACGGTACTTGATCTGGTGGCCGCTCTCCTCCTGGATCTGTATTTTGATGATCGCCTGCTCTTCGTCGGTAGAGGCGACAGAGCCCGCGTCGGACGCCTTTTTTGGCTCGTACTCTTGTCCGCTCATGGTATCCGTCTCGCGAGGAAATAGAAGTCGTGAGAGCAGGAACGTGCGTTTAGTCGTCAAGGGGCCTTTCGTGCAAAGAACCCACCAGTCCTGAGAGGTGAGATTTTATGCCGGGCGGGGCCGACACGAAAATGCGAGGACGCGGGTGCACTTCAGCCGTGGAGGTGGGGCGCGCCTCCGGATACAACTTGGCGCACCAGCGCGCATTGGAGGAGCGCGTTAAGAACGCGCGGTCTCCAGCGTTGATGGCGTGCGATTGCCTCATAAGCTGTGCTGCACACGAAAGCACTCGTTTAGCCGACTCCTGTCGTTTGTGGTGGAGCGCCGTGCTGGATCAACGATTCATCAAACCTCGTGTGCCTGAGTGGTTCACCCTCGGTCCTAGAGAAACTTTTTGAGAATCTGGAGATCCCCGATTACAACGGAACAGGAAGGGTAGACGTTGGTGTTCTACTGAACGACGTCGAGCCCCGCATCGTGCCGGAAGGTGACTTAAGGTACAACATTAATCCCGGTGGGGCGGATAGGTACATCAAGCCAGCATGGCACTAGTTCTCTCCGGATAATATACTCGACGAGGATGAAACCTGGAGGGCTCCAGCCCCACATCGTGACGGTGGAAGATGGTTTGGAAGGTCGATCAAACTGCGGTTTGAGTTTAGCACTCATCAACCTTGATCAACCCGCTTCTCAATGTACCCCGATCTGTTTTCAGGAGAGAAGCATCCTCACCCGCCTGACCAGAAACGAGCAGAACGCAATCCACGCGCAATACTCGCGAGTCTTGAGTACTGAGTGGTTAGCGATGCAGTCAACACCAACTGACGGAAACGAAGGCACGCCGACGGTAAATATCGCCTACGGAACGAGCTACGGGGGATGCTCGATAAGACATGCATTGAGCAAGACAAGCACGATTTGGGCTGGCTGTGGTGAACGCAGAAAATGAAACGGCTCGAAACAGGGGCCATCGTGAACCCTTCCGCAACAGCAAAGATACGAGCAGGTCACGAAGCAGAGACAAGGGTGGGAACACGCACCGTCATCGCCTGCAAGTCCAGTCTCGTCGGCAGCTCAAGCGTGTTGATGGGACACGTTCATGGGGGAGGTTTGGGCTGTAACACCTCCGGTGAAGGTCAAGCCTGCAATTGCACGACGACTTTCCATACACCAAAGAATAGTACCACACCCTTGTGTGGCCGATGATCTCCGGAAGAGTCAACCATGCCTTTCCTCAGTAGTGTTGTCTGAACTCCGGAGGAAGTGCGCGAGATGCAAACTGGGTCTGGCGTGATGAGGGTGTCGAAATTCGCTATCAAATTGACATGCGCATGTACGAAGAGGCTCAAAGAGTGCGACTGTGCGGGAAGCATTTGTAGCGACGAAGGTACGCCCATACCAATGTACACAGCCTCACCCAACACGGTGAGTAGGAATGATCTATTTACATGCACCAGTTATGATGACTTCCGTCGGAATATACGGATGAACGCCGATGTAACTGGTTGTACGAATGTCCTTGAGAAGGGTGGGGCGAGATACATCGACAAGCCGATCCTAACTGGAAGGAGGGCCTGCAGGTCCGATGCATAGGTGAGACACATTCCCTCACTACAGCACGAGCACATGAAGTTGAATCGACTCGGGACATACCTTCGTCAACGCATACGCGACGACTGCATTCGCGACGTCCCCCGCGATCCTCCCCGTCATGACGGCCTCAGCATGGTGCTTTGCCTGCTCCCCAGGCAAAGGCACTGACGGTATACTCCCCTTTTCATACCCAAGCCACCCATATCTTCTCCCGACTCGCTCTGCTCGAGCCTCCCCTTCGACCATCCACTTCCTGAACCGCTGCGCGACCCAGCTCTCACGAAATTGTGCAGCGAACCCTCTCTCGCCTTCAGCGCTAGGCTGTGGCGCAAGTGCACGGATGACGCCCTCTCCTACTCCCAGGCCTCGTGCGGCAAAGAAGAATCCTGCGATGGGGGCTATTGCGGTTAGCTCATGCAGGATGCCGAAGGAGAGGATGAGGGATGGGAGCGGCGTGCGGGTGCGTTGAGAGAGCGCTGAGAGCGCCTGCTTGTACGGGCCAAACTTGGACTTGCTGGATGGCAACTGTGAGGTCATGGACCACTGTCATCCGATGAAAGCGAGCAACGAGTTGGAGAACGAGCGGAACGACGAGCAAGGTGCGTCCGAGAGCGGCGTGTGCGCACGTTCAGGCGCCTTTCAAGCGCCTTGTTGGGCGCGGACAAATGTGCGCGCCTCCGAAGTTCGAACCGATGCCTATACCTTCTGAACTGTCGACGGGCCATATCTCCTCGTCTGCTGCACCAATTGACCCGTTTCCTGCACAATAATACTCTTTAAGTCTCCCCGTACATGCATATGTCAGCTTTGTAGCGGATTTTGACACCCTCGTTGCGCCAGACCCAGTTCGCGTCTCGCGTACTCCCTCCGGGATTCAGACAACACTAGTAATGAAAGGCATTTTTGACTCTACTCACCGTTTTGGGGTAAGAGCCATGTACATTGGTATTTTGGGTGTAATTTCGTCGCTACAAATGTCGTGTGCTCACTCTGATGCATCTTAGATGGCGACTTCAGCGCCGATTCCCAAGGAATGCTCCCTAAGTCAGCGCTTTCCTCCGTAGTCTACACTATCCTTGGGATCCTAATGTTGCCTTCTAAAGGAATTGACAACATCGCCTCGCTAACTTGCTCCGAGTCTCGAGGTGAATGGCGCGTCATAGCCTTTTCGCGAGCCGTTCTGAATCAGTGCCGCGCCCATTCTTCGCCAATAAGGAGCTCGGATAATATGTTCTAAACTCTTTGCGAAAAGAGTCTTATCAGCTGAGTCTATGTTTGGTACGAGCGCGTCCTAATTATATACAACACATATGCATGTAACTGATCAAACTTCCAGATTCCGTATAGCACGCGCCTACTGGAGAGCGACGGAGGAACGATCTCGCAAGGACTGTTCTACCAGCGCGCACTTGCTGGTATGCTATCTTTGGGCCCGGTAAGGTTCTCTGCAGTACCTGAGAGCCTCGCTAGCTGTAGTATATGACATGTAGACAGCCTAGCGAACATTTGGTACAGGTGAGTCTTGTAATCTATCTGATATCTTGCAAAGTGTACACCAGCAATTCCTGACAGGACTGCAAGTGACGAACATCAATCATCTGTCGAAAGAGTTCTTATCGCGAATACACAAGCGTACGGCATAAAAAGGGTTATGGTACAGACATCTCATTTACTGAATGCGGCCTGGCCGTCTCTAGCCGTCAGTGACGCGTGGTCTTCCTCAGCTTCGTCCACAGCTTCTTATCCTTCCGGACCTTCACGCCCGTCTTCCTCCGCCTCTCTTCTCTATCCTTCTGCCTGTTCTCGTGCTCCTCGAGAATCCGCTCCGCCGCAATAACCTCTTCGAATTGCCTGCGATGCTTATTCGCCTCGCATTCCTGCCTGATCGCCTCCACGTGCTGCGCAACTTCCTCCGCCGTTGTGTCCATCAGCTGGACGTCGCCGTACTGGAAGTCGGAGAACGCCCCTGGAAGGCGCCAAGGTGGGAGCCGCTCGAGTGCGGGGATGGAGTACGCGACGGTGAGGAGGTGGGCGCACTCGGGGTAGCGCGCCATGTTGTCCCAGACGTTTGCGGGGTCGGACGCCCTCGCGGGGAACTGTTCGATGAACAGCTCGCAGCTATCGTGTGAGAACATGGAGCGAGTCGGTGGGATCTGGGGTGCCTACGCGCGTTGAGAAGAGAGGAGAGACAAAGGAGTGGCGGTGGTTAGCCATGGTTCGCGCCGTCGACAACCGCGTCGATGGACTCACCGGATCCCGCTGCGGCCAAGTCTCAGCCTCGTAGGCCATATAGGCCTGCTTAATGCGCTTGGGCTCTGTTGCCCAACGTTTTGCGACCATTTCGGCGATGTCGCATGTCTTGGGTGCGAGGGGCGCGGTGGCTCCGGCCATCCAGGTCTCCCCCGTCCATGCGGTCCGAACGGTGTCCATAGTCGAATGTGCGGTAGGGTGTGTTATTGTTAGGTTAGAGTGTACAGGGGCTTGGGATGTGCGGGAGCTTCGACAGGAAGGGTGGGGACAATTGGTGGGTGTTCAAGTTGAAGAGAGCAAGGGCCGGTGCGCGTCTGTTTAAATCACCGTGCTTGGTCTCGCTTACACTCCGTCTTTCCAGATCCGGTGGAATCAGGCATAAAGCGCTTTGGATGTGCCCTATGCAAGGTCTGGAACAAGGCCGCATTGTCGCGGCAGGTCCGGAGACCTTGGACCGAAGGAATGTCGACGCAAGGCAGCCGCGGTAGGCAGTGATCGCTTACTCTATCTCAACGCCTCTGTTTACAAATACACCTTAGGTCAAAGAGCTTGCCACCTGTAACTATATTCCTTTAACTCATCGCAGGCCAGAAAGCCCTTGTCGTGTATTTTGGGTGTACACAGCGCTTTGTAGGGTGTGGATGACGCTGCGCTTGTTCTCGTCCCCTCAAAGGAGCCTAAGCGCACCAATCACCTCTACGTAACTAGACTGATCTGCGTATCCTGTCTTGAACAGGCAAATGCATCGTGTAGCTGATAGACAGCGTTATTGCGGAGACGGGCGGTTCAAGGTTGTTGCGTTTCACCCTTAGGTGCGATGGTGATGGTTTAACGTTTAATTGTGACATGCGGTGCGTAACCTCCGGCCTGTGACGTCGGCACTCCATATCAACCTGCAAGACTTGTGTACATATATCCATGTATCGCGATATGCGGAGGAATGGTCCGACTCAGTAATGAGTTCACAAGATTTTCACACCTCGACATACGCTCTCACACAACATGAGTGACCGCATACTTCATGCATTGAACGCTGGTGGCGCGATGTATGCAATACAAGGTGCTATCTGTATCCCAGAACATCAGTGTGAGACACTCCGAGGACTGTAGGGTGGAAGAAGATCGGCTGACGGGTTTCGGTCCAGAGTGGTATAAGCTTACAAGGTGATCTTGCACTAGGCGGTCCGATGTGCCAACCGAGAAGCCAGGCGGGCCTTGTAGCTATTGTGCTGCGGTAGCTTCGAAATGATCAGCTGAACGTCTCGGGGGACTCATGTCAATTGACCCTGCCGGTGGTGATGCTGGTGTGGATCTAGTACGGGATATTCATGTGCTGTCAATATCAGTACTTCAGTTTCATATCCGCAATGCCATATGAAGCGCGCCTTACGTCATATGTCTATACCTCCTTCCTCAGCCTCTTGTCGCAATCTCAGAGCCGTGGCGGGGCGATGGCAAAGTAGAACCGTTCTTAATTCGGTGAGATTGGCGCTGGATTACTGGATGGGTGGCGAGATTACATATGTGATTGGTGACGTATGGGCGCTCAACGACAAGCCTCAACTAGCTTGCACTAAAGCTGAGTCCTAAACTGTGCCGTCTCAGAGACATTTGATCACTTCGTCTGTTCCCTGCACCGGTAAGCTCCTATAACTATGATACACTGTGAATAGGGCAAGTCGAAGTCGGTCATTCTGACATTGACACCGCAGGATCAGAGACCCGAAACGCAAAAGATTCCGCGAGGGTTTGACCGCTGCGCTTTGCCCCGTAACGATTCTCCGTGAAACCAGGTGCGTTCACAAAGAGATGTCAGAGTGGAAGATTCTGACTTCGGTTCTGGTTCGATTCTGGGCCGATTTTGTACAGAATTGGGGACGTGAAGCACATGACAACCTGGAGGAGGTTTGAGCGCTCCGCCTGGCCCCAGAGTGATTCTTCATGCAACTTGGTACGTGAATGACTGGAAAAATCAGAAGCCGAAGCAGGATCAGAGAGCTTGGAGCCAGATGCGACGATTTCGTCTTGCATTGCTTGAAGCGCCCGCTTTCCCAATGACTCCGAACACAATCACAGAGTCAAAGCGAAGCTAGCATTGTCATCATTATCAGGCAGGAACGGCTAATATGACACCCGCTAATAGGGGTAGTCAAATTTTAGGCCGCGTTCGGTACGTCGGGTTAGAGCACGATAGGTCTAGTTTTCCCAGCCAAACCGCCATAGCCGCTCGGAGCCCCATTCCCATCACTGAGCGGTTACGGCGATTTTGGCAGGTAACCTAATCCTGTCCCACGTACCGAGCGGGACCTAAGGCATAAGGGTTCAGTGTCCAATTCTACCAGTGGTTCTGAGGCAAGTCGATGGCAAGGAGTCGACATCGATTCTTCTGCCAGCTCTGACCCCAGGCTATCCCCTTCCATTGAGTCGACAATTCTGTTATCGCCTTGTCACTGGACTCCTGCGAAATGTCGATTAAGAGGAGAGAGATGGGGGAATCATGTGCACCGAATCGCGATTCGGGAGGGTGCTCCTCCAGAGTCGCACCGGCGATTCAACGCGCTGCCAGAACCGCGTATTTCCCCCTTTCTAATCATGTCCCTAACCGTTTCTGTGGACGATCCGAGTGAGTGAATACGCGATGGGACTGGGTGAACACCTCCCCTGGCTCGCGATTCTGCGTACCTGAACCTTGATTGTATTCCGAGAATCCAGCATCGCATTATCTGTGGAACTTGACCTAGATGTAAGCGATCCTGATATGCATTTGATATATAGCATAATACAGCACGACGATGCCATTCAAACGGCCGAGGCCGAATCCCACTCAAGGAGGTCCTAATTCCGAGTCTTCGTCCTCCCGACCACTCCCCGCAAAGCAGACGAAGACATCGACTGCGAAGGGGTTGCCCGACATGAAGATCTACATAGTGCAGGCAAAGCTCGATGCAGAGAGCATCGCTACTCTAACAGGCCTGGCAGAACGCCATTCTGGAGTCTGTAGGAATGCTGAGGACGCCGAGGTCCTCATCACGGCTGTGTCGATGCGTCGACGCTTGGAGAGGCATGTCCCATGGGAGATAGCGGTAGGTGCGGTGCTGACCTACTGTCTGAACGCACTGACTGACTGCCTTCCGCTGTGGGTGGTGCTGACCCTCGCTTCAGAGAACAAAAGCAGTTGTCACTCCGCAATGGCTTCGCGACTCCATCGAACACGGCGTACCCCTCCCGTGTGACGACTACGTTGCCATCGGAGATCTTCATGAGACGACGGTACAGCACTGCCCGGATTGCAACTGCAAACCATGCGGGTGCTCAGACGACTCCCCTTCCCCAACGCCGCCCACTTCGCCTCGTCCTCGTACCGCAGAGCTCTCATCCTCTCCCACCTCCCCATCTGCTGCATCAGTCCCTGAACCGGCGGAACGATCCGTGTATGTCCCGGAGAATTTACTTCCACCCGATCCCCCGATACCGACCAAGCTCGAGACTCTGGACTACACCTCGCGCTACGCATGCCAGCGTCCGTCACCACTCGTCTGTGTAAACCAGAGTCTAGTCCGCGAGCTGGATACCATTCGACATAGTAGATGGTTGGAAGGGGAAGATCGGAGCGCGCTGAGCTACGAGCGAGCCGCGTCCGTCATCAAAGGTGTGTCATCACCCTCCTTCCCAGTTGCAGCGAGTAGACATCCGCTCGCCGCTCACTCCTACTGGCAGCATACCCGCACAAGATCCGGTCCCTCGCGCAAGTTGTGAAGTTGCCGTTCATCGGCACAAAGATCGGAGGACTGGTACGTCGTTTTAGACAAGCCTTTGTGAGACATCGCTGTGACAAGACGCACGATCCAGATTGAGCAGTACCTCAATACGGGCACGATATTAGAAGCAGGTGCGTACCGCTCCTCGCATTCGTCCCCCTCTCCTTTTCTTCTCGCCGCCAGCTCGCGTATACTTATGGACTCCACGGACGGTCAGAGACCATCAAGGGGTCCGAGCGCTTCCAAACCCTCTCGTTGTTCGCGTCCATCTATGGCATCGGGCCGTCGACTGCACGCCGTCTGTACCACCTCAATCTCCGCACGCTCGAAGACCTTGAGATTTACTACGGAGTAGAGCGCGATGACGTTGGACGGCAGGGCCAGATCGTGGAGGTGGAAGAAAAGCCCCAGCACCCGAGATGGATGCGCGGGCAGCGCGCAGCAGACGACGGGTTGGGCGATAGCTGGATACGGGTCGCGCTCGGGCTGCGGGAAGATTTGGCGAAGAGGTGAGTACATTCCTCTTAGTGCAGTAACGCTTTATTCACGAGAAGACTGGCATCGTAGGATACCACGCGCGGAGGTAGAGGAAATGGGTCGTGTTGTGATCACAGAACTCAACAACCTCGAGCCGGGGTGTGTCTCGACAATCGTCGGAGGGTACGAAAAACTGAGTGCTCATGCACACGCGTCACTCACCCGCTCCGCGCGTAGATATCGACGCGGGAAGCGGGAGAGCAACGATGTGGACATAGTCTTTACGCATCCCGACGCGTCGAAGGTGAAGGGACTGTGCAAGTCGTTAGTGCGACGGCTTCACGAACGTGGTGTGTTCGATGCAGATACCACAGCTGTTTGCGCAAGGCTAATGCCTGTACACCCACAGGAATGGTGACCCACGTTATGCGTATGTGGTGCGGTGTTGTCCGCTAGTCTCGCTTCTCACCTCGTTTACAGACCTCTCCGGCTTCCACACACACGACCCGCTGCGCCTGCACCATTGGGACAACTTAGAGAAGGCACTCACCGTGTTCATCCTTCCTCCGACGTCGCCTTTCTACGACGGCACGCGACGGCGGCTCGACCTCATCTTCGCCTTGCCTGAGGTTTACTGGACAGCTGTGATCGGGTGGTACGTCGTGGTATCGCAGGGCGAATGCTGGGGATGTTGACTGCGGTGTTGGGGAGCAGGACAGGGTCCATCATGTTTCAGCGGGATATCCGGCAGTGGGCAAAGGACAAGCTGGGGATGAAGTTCGACAGTTCTGGAATGTGTGTCACAGTGATCTCTTTCGTCTTTGCGATGCTCACGTGCACCCAGCACGCGGCGGTACGATTCCAAGGAATTCTACCCCAAGACGGAGAAGGAAGTGTTTGAACTATTAGGCCTGCAATGGGTAGATCCGACGTGGCGAAATGCAGACTTGTAACGGACAAAGGACTGGCACGGGAAGCGATGTCAAATTACGAGACAGAAAGCGGGTCCGCGGAGTACAGTTGCCCCTATTCGATCGTGTAGCGTCGTCTCCTTGGAATGGTCATTGCATGATGATGTACGTCTTATATTCACTCTCATCCAACCATTCACCGCTGCTCTTCCCATTTACCCGGAATGCGACCTTGTCATTGATCTATAGGGTCCAGTCTGGTATGCGCACGATGCAGTGTGTCAGGGATGTGTGTGCTGCAGGACGGGTGATTCCGCACCTATTTGCCCGCTTTGGCATCGCTTCAACCTCCGTCCCTTCTCACTGTCATGTCGCCCATCATTCATCGTCCAGATTCGTCGCCAGAGTCCAATTCCGCTACTAAAGCCATGTGCGCGACGGCGCATGGGCTAGCGCCACCAACTTCCTGGGCTCCGGAGCGTCCGGGCGTTCAAGTGCCTGTCAAAACGAGGGCGAAAGAACTCGTCGGTTAGCGGCCGAATTGGGCTTTGCTTGGGCCCGGCTAATCCTACGAAGGCAAGTCACCCTCTACTCGTTCCTGGGAGCACCGCACTTGCAGACCCGGGCGTGAGCTTCGAGTGTCAGCGAGCTCAAAGCCCTTCCGCGCGCTTGCGTTACTCCGCAGCATGGCCTCGCGAGCTCTCACCGCTTTGCCACGGGGCACAATGAACAGTCATTGTCTCTGTCCTCGAACCCTTGAATCCAGGCGGCGGTGCGCTTTTTCTACTTTACGCGATGGGAGGGGCTACATGTATTCGGAGCTTGTCAGTAGACCTGTCGTTTGCTTCCCTTCCTTTGCTCCTACCCTCCCTGTATTCTGTCCTTGTGTCCCTATCCTACACTCAGGTGTCTGGTGCGTGCGTCCACACATATTCGTGCTGACACCAGTTATTGAAGCTCAGCCACTGCAGGTCGTAGCACGCTATGGATCACCTCCATTTCGATTTCGCGTTGTTCGACGAACTATTCTCCGATAGACACCGACTTATCAGTTTTCTGCTTAATTCCCCCAAGGCACATCTGAACGCTTCTCCTAACGCGTTCATGTGCTTTCGGAAGGTGCTACACTACCTGCTCGTCATCAAAGGTGTCAGGATTCCTTCAGAATCATCCTTCTCAAAACAAGCGGGTATCATATACCAACCCTACAAGGTGTTTTGGGCGGCGGTCAAGGAGGAGGTTCGCAGCGAATATGACAGGCGCGGATGGGGGGAGACGCACGAGGCAGAGAAGGCGAAGAAGAAGGCGGAGAAGGCCAGGGAGGCGGCGGAGAAGGCGGCGGAGAAGGCGGAGGCAGCGGCGAAGACGAGTGGGAGATCCATTTTTGAGCCCGCATACACATCCCCAGAGCCCAAGCTGAAGAGAAGTGGAGGTGGGACACTCAACACCAAGACTCGGAAGGGCGACGCGCGGTATACACCGTACGCCGTCTCGTCTTCGGCCATTCGCTCGTTTTCCTCGTCGGCCTCCAGAACCCGCGCTCTCGTCTCTGGTCTCCTCGAGGAGCGTGACTGTGGGATGCCGACAGCCGCATTCGCGTCTGTTGGTACCACTTCTTCCTCGGCCCCTTCCCATATGGATTGGCCTAGCGTGGTTTCTGCCTCATCTCTGGACGGTGAACGCGCACGCGGCCGCTCATCGAACTCTGTACCGGATTACAATACCCCCCTCCCACTCGCGCCGGCACCTCGCTCTCATGGAATGCTATCAGAGACAACTACTGCCAACTATCCATGGGGCGCACCCTTTCCACCTACAACGGCTCCGGAGCAAATTCACGTTCACGAATATGCCCCCCTGAATCAGCATTTCCCCCAGTATCAGCATCAGCCCCAATATCAGTATGAGCATCTCGGGGCAGAACTTTGGAACGGCAACGAGGGGTCTCAGGTCTGGCCCAGCCACAACACTTACCAGCCGGGCATCGACCAGGCAGTCCAGCCACCACTTCTGGCTTCGCAACCATACGCACCACGTCTTCCCGATACATTTCTCTCGCACCCCTCTCCCACCGCAGAGATACCCTTAGGTCGAATCTACGACTATCGGCCAGCGGATCAGGAAGATCAATTACTTTTCCCCTCTTCATCTGCCGGGGCTCACGCGCTCAACTCGATATCTGCCCTCCTCTCCTCCCCGCACACGCAGCCTACGCTGATGCAGCATCTCCAAGAGCAATCCTCATCTTTCCTTCCAGAATCGGCATTGCTAGACGTTCTCTGTCTGCCAGACAACCTGCTTGCTGTGCCTGAGGACGTGCAAGCTCAGAAGGAAGAATCTTTGGAGCCCACTCGTTGGTGCTGATTACCCATGATATTCTCATTGCTGTATACACCTGTAGTATCCCCATAGTACTTATACCCGTCTTAATATCTGTTCCTGCTTCTGCTATGCGCATGATGAACGGCCGCTAACCGTTCGCGTTCCCGGGAACGACGCGGATGTCTCACGAAAATGACGTCATGCAGGCACACTCTCCTTTGCTGTACGCATCAGCACAGCCACGAGTGCAACCTGCCGACTCGCGTCCCGGTTCAGAGTGGGTCTCCCTTGAACGTGTCGAGTCCTCCCCTCCGTCATGCCAATACTGTCTATGTCTCATATCTACAAGATGTGGTCTTCATTCTCTGTCTTTGGCTTTTCTATGAAAAGATATCGGCAATCGGCCTGCAGACCTCTAGTGGCGAGAGCATCAAACGGAGGGCAAAGGAATCGACGAGTGGTGGTCCTTCCAAGCCTGGGTCTCTCCAGTCTGGTGTGCCGCAGGAGTCTAAATTTGTTTTAATACCCCACCCTCCCTTCACGAATCACCTTATCATGTCAACGTGCGCTTACCCTGAGCCCGGATCCCAGAATCTTCATATGCAGTCGCTCTCTCTCCTGCCACATCCTCTGTGCATGACTTTGCCTCTCTCCGCCCAATTTTGGTATCAATGTGACGTCGTCACCATGCTTCCCTATCAGAGCTTTCTTTATGCTGAAACCATCATCTCACTCGTCCCTCGGTACTGTGCTGCTTCGGACGCTCCCATGTGCGACAACCTGATTCCTGCCACTTCATCATCTTCGAGCAGCTCCTCATCGGACCTCACATCTCCATCATCCACCGAGGATCTTCGCATGCCTTCTCCAGGGCCCTTCCTGGATGCCTCCTACACCATGGACCCCGCCACTATCCCCGATTGCTCACACGTCTGGACAAACCCTTTTCCCGCATAGATAGAGCATCAGGTCCTGAACCAAGTATCTAGTTCGTTAGTCTACGCTGTCCCTGGTGTCGGCACGTCACCCGAGCCACTCGCGTCTCGCATCCCCCACCGCGACGAGAAGTTCCCCGAAGCGTGCTTGCCCTACTATACAAGACTATACCCAGTACATGCAAAGCATACCCGCGACCGAACCGCACACGGTAGCTCAAGCCGGACAGTCCGTGAAGACGCCTGTTCTCGACGACTCTTTCTCGTTTTGGTACAACATGAACATCCTGAAACTCTGATTCATACGGGCACGTCCTTTTCTGCCAGTAGTTGGCGCGAAATGAGGTCCCTCGTGTATACACTGGCACTGTGCACATACTCCTTACATGTTATTGTACTTTGTGTCGCGCCACACGATCATCTCCGTTATAAATCACGTATCCCAGAGATTTCATTGCAATGATCCCCATAAAGCTCCCTCCACCACCATTTGTTCATAGACTCATTCTGGAGTGGTATTCGTGGAAACAAAACCAAAGGGCCCGGGCGAAATGCCCTTACGGCGTTTAGAACGGCAACCCGCGTGAAATCATGCCTTATGAGGCTTGTTTTCATAACAGCACAGCCACGTAGTAAACGCGAGCAACTCCGCCCAGGCACACTATCCCTTGCACTCCCTGCATTCGCCTTCTTGCTAGCAGTGTGCTATGTGCTGTAAGGAGCTCGAATTCACCGAGCGTAGGCTTTGCTTGCGGAGATCTCCTAAAGGGCCAGACTCCAGTCGACCACAGCAATTTCTCCGATACTCCGGCTCATCGGCTGGAACGGCCGAAGGCTCAAAAATTTTGCCCACGAGGTTCAGAATCGTAGGAGGTCCCATTCTTAGAACGAGCACAGCTTTCTATTGATACAAGATACAACGGCACTCAGGCGAGTTTCCGCACCCTCGGCAGCGCTTGCCGAGTGGGCGCAAAAACATCATGTGGCATGTCTTCCCTCCGGCATCTCGATCCCGTTCCACCAGGTGCTGGCCAGCAAGTCATGGAGAACGCACCAGTTGCCTTCGGGTGACGTACAATATAGCTATGATAACATGCGAGCGCGCTTCTGCGGCGTCCCATAAAACTTTGCGTTGTGGTCGGACCTCCGCCTCTAGGACTTGTACTTGAGCGACATCCTCTCCCCTCCGCTGACTCTTCCCCAAAACGGCCTCCCACCTCAAGTCGTCGATCCTTCTGCCCTCCTGCACGCCATGTCTCAGGCCGAGAGCACAGTGACGACGCCTCGATGTGCTACCCCAGAGACATCGCGTGACGCCCACGATGATGCGATGACAGTCGTGGACCCTCGTTCTGAGACAGTCTCGTTGACCGATCAGACGAACCTACTCCCCAGGAAGAAGGTTATGGCCGTTTTCTTCGGTCTTGCGCTGTGTATCCTTGTCTCCTGCCTGGACTCGACAATCGTCGCAACGGCTCTCCCGACCATATCAGCGGCATTCAACGCAGGATCTGTCGTCTCCTGGGTACCTTCTGCGTATTTCCTCACTTCAACCGCTTTCCAGCCGCTCTGTGAGTCTCCGGTGCCACCTCTATGCGTCTCCGTCTTCGCGCGTGGGACTCGCGATACTTTTCTATACACACCTCCACGTGCTGAGGCTTTACTCAATGCTGACTTCCTGTTCTATTCCTTCTCTGCAGATGGGCGTTTTAGCGATATCTTCGGCCGAAAGGCAGCACTCTGCCTCGCGATGGGCACATTCATGGTCGGCTCCCTCGCCGCCGGCTTTTCACGCACTATCATAGAGCTTATCGTCCTCCGGGGCCTCGCTGGCGCCGGTGGTGGTGGCATTGTGAGCATGGCGCAGATCGTTATCTCCGACGTCGTGTCGCTCCGCGATCGGTGAGTACCAACCTACAGATCGAAGGATTCACTCCCTTTCGAGTCGATTCACTTTATTGTCGACGTACTGAATATGCTGTGATTAGCGGGAAGTATCAAGGCATCATTGGGGTCGTGGTCGCGTTCGGCTGGGCGGTGGGTCCTCTCATGGGAGGAATCCTCGCCGAGAAGGCGGGCTGGAGGTGGTGCTTCTGGGTCACACTCCCGGTTTCTCTTTGCGCTCTCATCTTCGTGCTCTATGTGCTCCCTCTTAAGTCAGTAGAGGGCAACATCAAGAAGAAGCTCGCCGTGGTGGACTACTTCGGGACGGCGCTGACGCTTGTAGGGTGTACGCTGGTCATTCTCCCAATCATCTGGGTAAGCCCTCTCGCGCAGCGTTGCTTTGAGTGATTATTGAGGTATGCATATGTTATTAGGGAGGAGTTACGTTCCCATGGTCCTCGCCTGTGGTTCTGGCACCGCTGTGCTCTGGCGCGGTCGTCATCGCCATATTCTGCATATGGGAGTGGAAGGGCGCGCGACTCCCCATCATTCCAAGTAGGTCCTCATTTCTTAAGCGTGCTGTCAAGTCTATCACTTAACGCGTCGTGTAGTGTATATCTTCAAACAGATCACTGTCACTGGGGTGTATATCGCTATGTTCATTAAGTGCGTGTCCTTCACAGCCCTGTCCAATGAGTCGCATCTGAGCACCGGTCATTAGCGGCGTGGTATTTTATTCTTCCCTCTTCTATATCCCCCAGTACTTCCAGGTTGCGCTGAGCTACTCTGCCATCCGCTCTGGAGTCTTCTTGCTTCCCGTCCTCGTCAGTCAGACCCTAGGAAGCTTCATCTCAGTACGTACTCAGGCTAAAGCATATCTGTCACTACGTCTACTTACCCCCATGTGATGTGATCAGGGGCAAATGGTCAGTAGGACCGGCAGGTATCGGGTGCGTCGAGTTTCTGTGCATGTCGTTGTGTATAGTGTATCACTCATACACTTCGGGTGCTCCAGACCAACATCTACTGCGGGTTCGCTGTTTGGACCGTTGGGTGCGGCTGTCTTTCCACCATCACGCCTTCGACGCCCAAGGGTCTCCTCGTGTTCTTCATGCTCCTTGCTGGGTTTGGAGCCGGTGGGGTGAATGTATTCGGTTCTTTGAGCTTCGTGAGATACTGACGCAGCCACTTTTTCAGACCCTGCAGACTACCACAGTCGCGGCGCAAGCAAGCGTCTCAAGACGGGACATGTCTGTTGTGACTGCTGTTCGCAACGTGAGCTCCGTTGTCTTTTACTCTGCACCCCCTTCCAATCAAACGCTCCAAACAGTTCATCCGTCTTCTCGGCGGTACCCTCTCCCTCGCTATTGGCGCAACGATCATCAACAACTCCCTCCGCGCCACCATGACCTCGCTCGGCCTCGCCTCCTCTACTATTTCCCAAATTGTCGATGACCCAACCATTCTCGGAGCGCGCACATCCGCGTCCGAATCTAGTCTCACAGACCTCGGAATCTCTGCAGACATCGCTCAACGCATCCTTGACTCCTATATCAAGGGCTTTAGAACGGTGTTCATCATGAATGCGAGTCTGAATGCGGTCGCAACTATGGCTGCGATCACCATGATACGCCACATAGAGCTGACGAGGGGCGACGAGGAGATGCTGAAAAAAAAGGCGATTGAAGACGCGCCAGCATCCGAGAAGAGCAATGTTGTCGAGGTTATTGGAACCGTGACCAAAGAAAAGCAGAACACGCCAGGCGACGAAAACGTTTGACCGGCGTGCTACTTCGTGTTCCTTCATTTCTCTCGAAGTCTTGCTCTCGCTCTCATCGTTCATCCGGATAGACTAGTGTCGTCCATTGACTAATGACCAAGGACTCGGAACCTATGACCCGCATGGTAGAATAGACTATAGATGATAAGCGATGGGTTGCTGATGTCGGCTACATTTGTAAGACCATTGATTGTACAACAACTGGCAAAGAGCGCAGAGCGTGAAAGCGACGTGCAGGGTGCGTGAGGTCCGTATGAACATGGTGTCCATGATTTTGCTACGGGAAGATATAAGATCTAGAACAGTCCTTGCAAGGCATCGTCACCCGAAGCCTTGAGAGCGTCCCGGGCTTCGCGAGCCGGACGTGAGATGGACGACTTTTCGTTTGCAGCACTCTCTTGCGCTTTCTGTGCTACCTTACGCAGCACACCGAGCCTTTGGAAGACATTGGGCCCCTCGACCAGATCGTCTTCCTCATCGGGGGCAACGACAGCCAGGATACAGTGGGAGGCCAGCACGGACTGTGGGGTGCCAGCGACCAAATTGGTACTTTAGACGACAAAGTCAGTAACAGAGGGGAGTGTAGCATGCAGAATTGACGTACGAAACGATAGGCTTGACAAGGTCATCAAAGATTGAGAGTGATGCGAACAAGGCAGCGACGGAGCGGTGATACGAGTCTTGCGGCGACACATGAGCGTGCTAACCCTATCAAGTCATCAGGCAATCACATACCTTCACGCTGCTCCTTGAAGGCTTCCGAAACAAGCTCCGCGCATGCTTCGCGTGCCCTTTCTCCAACGTTATTGCCTGCGCTGCGGATAACGCGTGCAAGGGCAAACAGCAGGCTTGCCGCAATATCATCTTCGTTGCTCTTTGCACCGGTCACGAGCTCGATAACGACGGGGTCCACGCGAGGCTGATTCTTCATGAGTACTCCTAGTGCTTGCGCCGCCCTTCTCCGGACGGCCAAGCTCGCGGGGTCGCTGGCACTCTTGACGAAGGTTCTTTGAAGCTGCGGGAAGAAGGGTTTAACGTAGATCGGGATGCGCTCCAACATTGTAGTTAGGGCACTGAGAATGGCGTTCTTGACTGCTGGTGGATATGTTGTTGCCTGAGTAGCGACACGGATGAGTGGTCCAGTGAACGGCACGACGAAGGGCTTGATAGCGGACTGTTCGGTACGCTCCACAAGGTCGCCAATAGCATACGCTGCCTGCTCGCGCTGCTCGTTACTACCAGTGGTGAGACCGGCAATGATGATGGGGACCATGGGAGAGACACCCTTAGGCAAGCTGAAACCTGGTACACAAGTTCCAGGGGCACCCATGCTCTCGATAGTACGACGAAGAGGAACCACGAGAGGTTCGAGCTCGTCCTTGGGTACTGACTTGACGAAGACATCTAGCGCATGCCAAGCGGCAGTATGTACGGGGATTTCCCTGTCATCAAGGAGCGAGACAAGCTGGCGAATCCAGTCGACTCGATATAGAGAATAATCAAGTTCCGACTCGTCACAGAAGATGGCGAAGAGTTCACAACTGCTGACACGCCGCTTCACAGAGTCGTGCTTGGCCCTGTGCTCAATCAGCGTGAAGTCCGCACGTAGGTTCAGCTGGAACTTACCACTCCAATAGAAGGAGCATAAGGGTATTGAGGCCTTCAGCGTCAGAAATAGACGACATCAGGGAACGGATGGCCTCATTGACAGCTTCTTTCAGCTCTTCGTCTCCTTGAACCTCTGTGCCTTCGTGCATCTTAACAAGAGCACTAAGAATCACCGTGAGACGTCTACTGAGAGCCGCGCCCGCCACGGACACCAGAGATGCGAGTGCACGTGCGTTGAATGCTGACATGGGGATTGCGGTGAGGGTAGGGATAAGAATAGGGAAGACTGTGTACGCGCGGACCTAGCGAAGCCGATTAGTATCATCACAAATATCCAAAGAAAGGTACCTACTGCCATAACTTCCTTGAGTGCTTGCAGCGCCGTTCCAGAGCTTTGACCAGGTTGTCGCAGCGCCTCCAAGAGGGTTGGAATTGTCTCATCAATCGCCCTGGCACCGATGTGCTCTTGTAATGTATCGAATGCCTTGGCTGCGGCCGCACGGACGTCGCCTTCGTCGTCTACCAGAGATGCACGAACCATTGCGATGATCTCGTCCTCCTGCCCTTCCCGCTGGTTATCCGTTGTACTCAACCTGGCAGTACGAGTCAGAATGAAGACGATCATCAATGCGAAAGACGTACATTAGCTCGCTGAGCATGAGGCAAACGCCCTCTCGCTTGCGTGGATCGGAAGAGCTGGAGTTAGCGCGAAGCTCGGCGACCAGTTCTGACAAGACCTTCTCTCCCGACTTCCTGCAGATTTCTGTGACTGTACGAGCAGCGGTCTATCCATGGATGAGTCTTTGTCGTGGAACACGAGCATGACGCATACCTCTGCTTGATCGCCCTCGTCACTTGTGAGCAAAAATATGATTTGCCTGACGAGTTCCGGCAAGATCTCGCGAACTAGGAATAGGGCATCAGAATTGGTACGAGCAACGTGGCACGGGACTTTTCTTACCAGTCCTTGGTGTGTTGTGCACCAATGCTTTCCAAATGTGAGCAGACGACTGGCGTACAACATTCACAGCGTCTTGGCGAGCCAAGTATAGAGCGGCCAGGATACGATCGCGACGGGAGACACCCAGGACATCCACGAGGGCCTTGCGAGAGGACTCCGCCAACGCTGTTTCTTCTGTCTCTTCGTCCTCTTCGATCTCCGCCTTGCCACTGATACCCGACACTTTGAACAACAACTCTCCGACCAGCGTGATGGAGGATTGCTACAACTTGGTGAGGCCGTGGACAATACATAGGTCATAAGGCAGACATACCCGAATGCGCCATCCAGCATCGAACATACCACGCTCCAGCTCGGGGAGGAGGAGGTCGATCGCCTTGCTAGAATAGTTCGTGACAACCATACGACCTGCACGCATCGCAGCCTCCCGTACATAATCGTCGGAGTCGGAGAGACCACTGAGAATCGGAGGAATGATCTTGGGAAGGTGAGGTTGGAAACGTGCTCCGAACGTAGCAGGAAGGAAGACGAGCAGGGACATGAAGCCTTCTCTGACTGTACTGCGAGGGGACTGCGCATTTGTTATGATGTCGGGGAGAAGGCCCTCCATGCGCTCCATCCCAAGACCTGCCAACACCTCAGAGAGACCCTGAGCCGCTCCTTGCCGATCTACACCGGAGGTATCTGTCTTGAGAGTGCGCAGCAGACCAGGAACGAGATCCGGGAAGTTCACTTCGCCAAGTCGCTCGACCAGGGTACCGAGAGCCTTTGCCGCCGTTGCTCTTGCCTCCGGTACAGGGTCTACTAGAACAACGTGAACCATGGGAAGGAGGCGGGAAAGATAAGGAACGAAGTCCTTGGAATCAGTGAGCGACGCGAGATTGCCCACGATCTGAGCAGCCTTCTTTTTGGTATCAGCACTACGTTCTCGAAGACCACGTTCAATGATTGGTATGACCTGAAGGGCAATTAGCAAGATGTCAATCACTCAGAAAGACATAGCTCACAAGAGCCAACGAGGAGTGATCGATATAATGCATAAAGGAGGTCTTGATCAGCGCAGACAGAGCGTTAGGCGTCTTGGCAGGATCGACCATGGCCTTGAGGAAGACAGGAACAAGGGACTGGATCTCCGGGTTGCTGATGACCTCGCCAAACTGCTTGAGGGACTTGTTCGCAGCAGCACGGACCTGCGCATGAGAGTCCGTCAAGACTCCCGTTAGACGGGGGATGACAATTGGCAAAGATTGAGAAAGCTGCTTGGGAGCACAGTACGCCATCATACCGAGGAGCTCAATGGACCCCTTCTTTGTGCGCCACTGCTTCTCATCTAGACCGGAGAGTAGCGAGGGAAGGACCGTCTTGAGCCCATATCCTGACATGTTGGCCATGATAACACGGGCAGTGTCTTGAGTTGCTTCGCGGACGTCAGGAGTACCATCGCCAAAAGAGGTGAGTAGTAGAGGAAGAACATGAATGACGTATGGCTCGAATAGACGTCCCAGAGTGCTCGCGAAGGTCTCGAAGGCGAACATTGCTCCCTGGCGGGGCTCAAACCGTGTCTTGTCGTCGGTTGCTTCACGAAGCCGGTCCATGATCTTATATTCCTTGATAGCAGAGATACCCAATCCCTTGACGACACCAGCGAGGCCATATGCAGCTCCACGGCGAGCAGCGTAAGACGGGGAGTTACACAGCTCGTCCAGAAGGCGGTCAATGAGCTGAGAAGGAGACTTGGATAATATGACCAAAGGCGACAGACACTCCGACACGGCCATCTGAACCTGCTCGGCAGGAGTCCTAAGAGCCCCAACCAACCTCTCAACAATGGCAGGCAGACGAGCGTCGGATGGGTCCAGATGTCTGGCGATACGACCAATCAGAATGACGACAGCCTCCTTGATGTGGTCGGACTCTTCGGTCCCGGCACCCGTGCTGGCAAGCTCCGATTCGAACATAGCGACGAGCTCAGGCAGACGAGTCGACCCATGAAGGTCGGTTACTGTGGTGCCACAACGGAGCATACTACGACGGACGTCTGAATGACGATCGCCGAGCGCCTTGTCCTGGATCAAGAACCTGAAGAAGGGCTCCACGTCGTCGGGGGTGAACGCTGGAGCAAGCAGCTCGATGGTATGGGCGAGCGCCACTCGTGCGGGCCAAGGATCCGATCGACCCACACTCGACGCGACGAGCATACCCTACAATAGAGTCAGTCAATATACAGCAGCTAGACGACTACTATTCTTACATATTGATCAAATTCAGGCGCGAGGACTTGGGCCTTTCGTGACATTAGCATACATCCAGCGTATTAGCTTGGGTTCCGGGCTCACCTTCTCACGGTAGAAGTCTTGCAATGCCGAGAGAACCTTGCTGATAGATGTTGGCCAGTACTCGATGACGGCGTTGGCCAGAGCAGACGCCGATGACAACCGGACATAAGCGTTGTCGTGCTCTAGTCTCCAGGAGTCAGAGTCACTCCAGCGAGACTCCAGCGACTGACTGACCCAAGTATGGGAGAAGATCCTGCAAGAACGTCTCCGGAACGTCAAGCCCGTTGTCTTCCCAGAGTTGATTGGCAAGACGAGCATTTTGTTCATCCTCATCGTGGCAAGAAATCCAAAGCTCGGGAGACCAGTCGTAGTCGGTAAGGTCAAACGGCTATTGAACAGGTCAAAAAGTCGCCCCGAGCCCTAGATAGAATGCTCGTACCTGCAAGGTCTGCAGACAGGAAGTCCTCACGTAAACTTCTTGGTACAGCGTGCCGCGGAGGAGCTCGCCAGTCTCTTCATGTGTGGCATTCTCTTGCATGGCCTGCCCGATGTCGACAAGTGCAGAATTCGCATCCTTGGCGAGCTTCGGCTGGTTCCGAATGGTGTGTATGAGGTCGCGAACCGTGCTCGTGCGAGGAAAAGCAACATCCGAGACTATGTAGACATAGATCAACGTTGACGCTGGGAAGACGGCTAACCAGCTCATCAACTTACACCCGCCGCAGTGGAACTTGATGATGTCTAGGGACAAGGCAATCTGCTCAAGAGGGTCGTCTTCCTCACCGATGGCGATGCCACCCTTCACGAGGACTTGGCTGAGAAGCGGTGATGCATACCCGAATGTCGCAGCATCAAAGGGAGTCTGCTCAGACAGAGTGCGGAGTCGGTAGAGGACTCGAATAACGAGCGCTAGCGCAGTCGATGTCAGTAGATAGGTCATTGAAAAGTGAGATGCAACGAACAGTTGAGGGGTTCAATAGTGAAGTCGTCCGGAACGCCATCGACCTCAGAGCTTCTAAGGGTTGCAACGCCGACCCACTTCCTGTAAGATTCTAGACGGTCCGAAGTGCACTCCGAGAGCAGCTGCTCCGATTGTCAGAAAATGCCACAGCCATTGACACGAGACGACTCACCAAGTAAGTATCGAATGAAGCATGCCCAACGAGCGTAACGGCCTTCCCGAAAGCTCCTTCGCGCAACAAAGTCGCGAGAGGTGATATGAACGTCCGAAGCTGCTCAACGTGGGCGAGCACTAAGCTTCGAATGAGGTGCAGGCCCTGTTCAAGTTTGGCCTTGATGCCGTTGACGCGTTGCCGCACAACAGCCTCCTTCTCGAGCTGAGCCTGGACGAGCGCCTGGTCCTGTTTGCTAAGCGTGGTGGTAGTTGCCGCCTTCTTGTTCGCAAGCGACCTGCGCAGTTCGGCCTCCCACTGTGCGTCCTTGTAACCCTTGCCCTTCTTCTGTGGCGCTTCTTCCTTCTTGTTCGAGAGTACTTGTGACCGGAACGGTGAGATAGTCACGTGGGGTAGCCAAGGCTGGATACATACCATCAATATAAGTCTGGCCCTCGGGAGTGCCCCAGATGCCAAGGTCCTCGTCTGTCAACCTTTGGACGTCATCTGCCTTTATGTCAGCACCTATCTTCTCGACCACCTTCGGCAGGACGGCTTCCGGAGCGACGAAGGCCAGTGTGGTGATCGCCCTGTAGCCAGCTTCAGCGAAGCCTGGAAGTGGCTATACAGTTTTGTTAATGCCTGGTTATGAAATGATGTGGTCTCGACATCGACGTACCTTCGCTGAGGCGTCGATTGCGCTGAAGACTTTATCCAAGATCGCGTCGGTGTGCGCGGAGACGAGCTCGTGAGGGTCAACACGCGCCTTTTGGCAAAGCTCGATCCAGACCGGGCGGATGGTACCGGCTAATAAGCTATCAGCCCCACAGTAATTCACGAGAAAGACGTGACGTACATCGCCCGGGATGGTGCGCGACGAGGACCCAATCCCAGAGTAGTCGTTGCTTGATATCCAAGGGGTAGTCCTCGGCAAAGGCAGCATACGCAAGCATGAAGGTCGGAAGACGGGCCTCTTTGTTCGAGGAAAGATCTTGTTCATCCGACGCGGCTACCTTCGTCTGTGCCTTCTCCTTCGATAGGTATGCGGACGCTGCTTCAAGCGCAGCGAGGTTGATGTGTTCTGGCAGCGCACCGGCAAGGCGTTCAATCGTGCTTAGGGCCGCACGTCGAACTTGCGGCGATGAGCTCTCGACGGCTAGATGGAGAAAGACGGATCCCAGCATTGTCCTGTGATGTGAATTCAGTAGAGGGGACAACGACGCATGCCGTAAAACGGACCGAGATTGTTCCTGTTTGAGAAATTCGTCTCTGAAGAACTTAAGGACCGCTTCCGCGGCTCGAAGCAGCCACGTCTCCTCCTCCTCAGAGCCTAGCTTCTGGTAGACCCTCTCCCACAAGAGGAATGATGGTTTGGGACTCGCCACGTATAGCGACTGGAGGGTCACGTTGCCCGAAATGATGCTATCTACCAACAGAAATGGCCGAAGGGCGTAGATTAGCTACATCAGAGTGGAAACGGAGGAAGCGTCAGGTCTCTACCAAATTGTTTCATATGCGAGAGAGGCCCAAGAAGGATTGCTGCAGCGACATATCCTTCGAGCGGGCCTGCTGCCGTGCCAGTAGGATTAGCCGCAACAGCCTTCAGGTTCGTTTCGAGGGACGGCACGACTGCCTTTGCGAACTCAAGCGCAGAAGGAAACTCGAGGCCCCCAAGCTCCCAGAGCGCATTGCCGACAAGAGAGCAGAACGCCCGTCGAATCACGGGCTTGCTGTTTAACATCTCTTTCGCAGCTACCGAATTCGAGATGCCAGGAAGCGCAGCGTCCGACTTGAGGCACGCAACGAGGTGCGGAGATAGCGACGCCGCGAGCACAGACACAGACCCGTCGTGGCTCTCCTTCGCCAGCAAGGGTAGAGACGTCTCGACAATAGAAGCAGAGACCGCGCCGGGCGGAACAGCTCCGAGCATCGTGTAGAGCGTCAATCGATGGTCTGAGCCGGCGGTCTTACCGACCTTGGGTAGACTGAGGAGCTCATTCGCGGTATGCTCGAGATCAGCCGGGGCCTGAGTGCGTTGTACAAGCACTTTGAACAAGGATATTGAGCTCGCCCGAACGATGTGGTTCGAAGACTTCGCGCTGTTCAGTGCGGGTGTGAGCAAACGACGGAACGCGTCACCTTCTACAGCATGAGCATATGCAGGCAGGAAATCCGCGATCACTGATCACGCTCATCAGCAACGTTTCATGAGCTGGTCCAATGCACTGACCGCTAAGCGTGATCTCCGGTGACCGCAGAAGGGCCTTCTCCATAGTAGGAAGAATGGTTCCGGTGAAATCTTCCGGCGTTACCGACGAATGAACAAAATCGTGGAGCGCAGCCTGGCGTGATATGAGCACCACAATTACAAGGACTCGAAGCAACGTACGGATATGTGCGAGGAGACAGGCGTCCTCGACATCAACACAGCAGTGGCGTACAGTTGTATGATATCGCTCTGAGCAGACAGAATCAGCGGCGCCAGGGCACATGTACAGAAAACTCTTACCTTGGTCGCCGGATCGATCTGCTTCAGCTTCTCATCCTTGACGATCTTCAGTCGTAGCAGGACACTGATGGCAGTGCCAATTAGCGGCACAGCCGCTAGCGGAGACGGCAGGGTCTTCGTAAAGCTCAGGAGGGTTTTGATGACAATTGGGATGGTTTCCGGGCTCTTTCGTTTTGTGTTAGCGGGTTCACCCACATCCGACAAGAAACTCACCTGTCGAAAGGCACGTCTTGTCCGAACAAGCGCACTCTTTTGCAGGGAATTCTTGCTACCAGTGGAAGGGTCGAGTAACATATCCAGAAGAGATGCCATAACACCGAGTAAGACAGGCCAAGTGCGATCCGAGGGGAAATCCGGGTTGCAACCAAGGCATGTAACGTATAGCCCACAGCACCAGCTGTGAAGCACAAACATGTCCGCAGCTGCGGTGGAGCTACAGACGGAATTGTTCCAGGATGAACAGCGTAAAGAGAGATAATTGACTCACCTCGGACGCTTCTGGATTCGCCCAACCTCCTGCGACATCCAACCCAGAACCTGTTCCACTACGCCAAACTTTTGCTCATTCGGCTCGCCTTGTGATGTGCCGCGCAACTCGTCCCTCCTGACCAGCGCCATGCCCACAGCCTCAACTGCTTCACGGGAATCCGCATCGACATAACGAGGGTAAGTTGAGGTAAGAAGTTTGAAGATGTCCATCATCTGAGAGAGGCTGAGATCTGGGTGTAGATTCACGTGAGCGATCTCGCCGAGTTCTGACGACGGTCGATAGGACGAGCAGAGCGCCATAAGTCAAGTCAGGAGAGATGTGCGGACACAACCAGCCACAGAAGACGTCCTGAGTATTTCCGAGAAGCGTTTGTGTCGGTTTCTGCGAAGCGAAAACTGCTATTGACACATAAGTGAGCCAAAGGCCTGTTATTCACATCGACCGTCAAGCTTTGTCTGCCGTGCGAAGTTTGACCCTCCAGGCAAGGAGATCTGTGCCAAACTCTCGGGCCACTCAGCGTGTCGATAGCAATCCCTGACGAGAGTCATGAGGAATCGTGCTTGGCAGACTGGGGCTTTCAGAAACGAGAATGCCACGGCGGAGAAGTCGAAGACATTCGTTCGCGCGCTCATCCCCATTTCAAAGAAACGGTCAAGGAAGGGTCAGCACGACCAGGACGTCGAGAACTTCGAGCATGATATCCCCTCGGAGGCCATCCACACAGACGGTGGAGAACTCACGACGACAACTACTGCCACGGTGCAAACGACACTGACGTCGAGGACGGGGAGCTCGTAGAGGAGTTCGGCACTGTGTTTGATCATCACGGACGGTCATCTCGGCCACATTGGAAGATGACCATCTGGGAGGACGTGTGCCTCGGCGACATTCATGTCCCCACTTGAATAATAGCGCTTTGCCAGTCACATCTGTGGTCTGTGAGCAACGCACCTCCATGTTTTGCAAGCACAAGCAGCTCCTCTCTGAGAAACTGCACCCGTGATTTGGTGCTACTTGTGAAGAGCTTCGTTTGTGCGGTAAGCATAGAGCAGGACCAGTCGGCCAAGATGTTTTCTCGTCGCCACCTCGGACCGCCCGAGGTCGAATCTTCGTCATCGGCTGTTGAGTAGCGAGTGGAAGCTATCCAAGATTCTATCTCAGATCTGCCCATCACAACGATGAGGCCAGCAACGAGAGGAAGATGGAGGTAGGAGGGTATTGGTATGCTCGACCTCCTGGCGAGGCAAATTGGAGACATAACCCTAATGTAGGGGTTAGATCCATTTGGTTTAGATTCTTTAGAATCGGTACAGTGCGGCGTACAGATCCCCTACTCTAACTTAACCTCATACCACCACCATCACGCTGTGCATACCTGATAAGTTTGCCAGATAAATGACTACCAACAGGTCCGAACTCTCAGCAGTCGTGCAACCCAGCACGATTTCCGGCGGTTCTCTCGACGTACGTAGCATCCTAGCCGTGTCCGAGGCATGGTCGGAAAGGAACGAATCGGTGTGTGTTCCTCCCACCTCAGTCTATCTATTGTACTTTTTTTGAACTCGCGAAAGAGCAGGCTCTATTAGAGCCATTTACACACGTCTTCTCCGTCCCCGGAAAAGAAATTCGTTCACAAATGATCGACGCCTTCAATCTGTGGCTGAAAGTCCCCCAGGACAAGCTCAGGGTCATCTCGAAGGTTGTGAGCATGCTACACACTGCAAGTTTGCTGTACGTCCCAAAGGATCGTCAATGAGAGGGTTGCCGTGACATCACCACAGCGTTGACGACATCGAAGATGACGCTCAGCTGCGCAGGGGCGTACCAGGTACGCCTGCGAGCACCATACTCGCGCCATGCTGAACGACGCAATAGTGGCCCATAAAATATACGGTGTGCCGCAGACAATCAACTCTGCGAATTACGTCTACTTCTTGGCGTATCAGGAGCTCTTCGCTCTACGGTCTGGGATCGGTGTAGATGGTCCTTCCGATGATCCGAAACGTCTCATCCCGTTCAAGGAGCTAGACCGAATAGTGACCGGTGAGTCACGAAGAAACCATCACAATCTGTCGATCGCTCATTTGTGCACATCAGCCGAGCTTCTGTCGCTGCACAGAGGGCAAGGTCTCGAGTTGCTCTGGCGCGATTCTTTGCAGTGCCCAACAGAAGAGGAATACGTGTCCATGGTGAACAACAGTACGTCCCCCCTATGTCTAGTACTTCCCAATTTCATTATCGAGTGCAGAGACGGGCGGACTATTGCGCGTTGCCATCAAGCTCATGATGGCGTGCTCGACGGAGAACATTGATGTGTAGGTCTCGCAATGGAGAGGATGAATTTGTGGCTTACCAACAGCGCAGCGATTATGTCCCACTCGTCAACCTCATCGGTGTGCACTTCCAGATCCGAGACGATTACATGAATCTGCAAAGCACACAGGTTCGTCTTCGGTTAGTCTCCGCTTCCCCCCTTCTCACGGGGACCCCAGTACTCCGACAACAAAGGCTTCGCGGAGGATCTGTCAGAGGGCAAGTTCTCGTTTCCGGTCGTGCACGGAGTCCGTGCAGACACGTCCAATCGCCAGATCCTCAGTGCGTCTACGGCGACCTATCTGGTGAAGTTGACTAACAGACGGTCCGCTTCAGACGTGCTTCAGAAACGACCGACCACACCCACGCTCAAGAATCACGCAATCAAGTACCTGCGCGAGCACACAAAGTCGTTCGACTACACACTGGGTGTCATGGACGACCTGGAGGCGCAGATTCGAGCCGAGATCGCACGACTGGGAGGGAACGCACAACTGGAGAAGATCGTCGACCTGCTGCACGTCGAGCGGCACGCCTGATGTATCCACGTCACTTTTACTTGCTTATACATGCATATCCTTCGACCGATCCCCCGAATGCATATCTCGCGGCGCCCCTCTAACCTCGCGATCGCGACCCGTGCCAAGGAACGATTCTGATGTCCTGGGGTATTTGATTTGTTTCCGGGCCAGGTTTCTGGCCTGATTATTCGCGCGCCGGATATGCCCTCCGTAAGAGTTTTACGAGAGCATATCTCTCGCGCGTGACTGCGGTACTTTGGTGAGCGAGTCTGCATGGCTGTGGACGCAAAGACGGAACTCACATATCCATTACAGACAACTATCTAGGAGTAAAGACAGAGAATGGCGGGAGGTCCTCACCGTCCTGTGACATCAGCATGCAGAGATCAGTCTGACAAGGTTAAGACAGCGCCGTCCACGGCTAGGGGACGTACCGGGACATGTCGCGTCATCCTTCTAGTGCCCGCAAGGTTGAACTCGCGGTGGTAGGGGAGGATTGGAGGAGTCCATTGATAAGGACCTCTGTAGACCTGCGCCTTTATACCCACTCGAAGTTCTTCTGCATAGGCGGTTGGTGGCCTTGTGTGCACCGGTCACGCCCAAGCGCATTGTACCGCAGCACAGCAAAGTACGACTGCAGAAGACTCGAAGAACGGTAGTTGGCTGCGGCTCCCACGGGGCTCATATAGATTTTGCGGGTTCTGAGGGCTTCTGATCGCGCACGGTACCGCGGTGCTGCTGCTGCTGCGGGTCTGGTGACCGACGCCCGAGCAGTTGTCAGCTTGTGCCAGATACTATCCCTGGCCATGCGGACCCTTCCCGAAAGCCCTCCGTGGCTGAGCGTATTTTTCTGTTTCACATTGAACAGTAAAGTGGCGAACTTGATGCTATCAAACTGCAGTGGAAGTAGCCTACAAACGTCAGCCGCATGACGGGCGCCTGTATCTCCTCCGGACCTAGTACTCCCACCAATTGGTGTCAGTGGGAGACTTTGAGACCCTGGCTGGCTGTACAATGGCGCAGGGCCATGTGATAAGCGACGATTGCGTGTGCCCAATTTGCGAAGCTCAGAGGGGTAGCGTAGGGTGCCGTTACCCGTAAAGCTGCTACTTCAAAGCAGAAGCGATCCTCAACGCGCTCCCACCCAAATGGGACCCGCGAGCAGGACAACCTGAAGACTACGAAAGGCCGCCGGCCACCGACGAAGATGATGATGGCATCCCTTTCGACCCCCGTGCGACGGTGAAAGGGACCATCGGGCACACCTTCAGAAAATTCACCGACTCCGCACCGGTCTATTCCACAACCCCAGATGTATGTGTTCAACCTCGTACCACACATATAACGGTTGGAACAGATGGCTCATGCCTGATCAACGGGGAGAGCAATGCAAGAGCAGGGGCGGGTGTCTATGGTTGAACGAAGGACATCCCGCTGACCGGTCTATTAAACTCCCCTCAGAGATCGTACAGTCAAATCAAACAGGGAAGCTAGTAGGGACTCTCGTCGCCTCTCAGACGATAGAGTCTACTACAGGCCTGACACAGGAAACGGACTCAAAACTCGTCTTGCAAACCGTCACCACCCGACTCCGAAAAAACGAGGACATAGGATGTATTGGCAAATCAAACGTTGGATTCACCAAGGCTGTGGTTGCCACCTTGCGGCGAAGGAAAGCCCTAGTAAAGTTCAAGTGGGTCAAAGGCCATAGCGGTCACCCTAGGAACGAGGGAGCAGATAGGCTGGCGGGACTGGGTGCCCTGAAATCAGCGCCCGACCAGGTCGATGTTCAGGCCCCAGACGATCTCCGCATCTCCGGGGCGAAACTCCAGGCCATGACCCAGCGCATGGCCTATACGGCCATAATGGCCCGCAAAGCGGCGAAGTTGCCCCCGCCCAAAGACAGTCCACGATCTGGACACCGTCAGAGCTGGCGTTGAGCACGCGTGTCAAGCACAAGTAACAGACAGGGCTATCTGGACCTCACTTACCAAGAAAACCCTCTTCACGAGGGAGGCCAGACGTTTCCTCTGGATGAGTATCCACGAGGGATACATGATCGGAAACTACTGGCAACGGGAAAGCATGTCAGATGAGATGAAATCTCGAGCGGTCTGCTCAGTATGTGGGGAGACCGAAACTATGACCCACAAACTGTTTGAATGTGTTGCCGAAGGACAACAGACGGCGTGGACCATGTTGAAAAAGCTGTGGACCTCGACGGGTCTCCCGTGGTGGGAGCCGAATGGGGGTACAGTTTCTGGCGCTGCCTGCCTGTAGTACAAAGATGATGATGGGACCCGCTGGCCTCACCGGGAGCAACGTTGGGCTGTCCTGGCGGTGGAAACGGCTTATTTCATCCGGAAGCTGAGATGTGAGCGGGTGATACGCCGTAACGGGCGGGACTTCTCGGCCAGGGAGGTCAGCGACAGATGGCACACAAATTTGGATCGTAGGATGACCCTGGAGCGCAGATCGACAGCAAGAGCTTACGGTAAGCTGGCGCTGAAGCCAACTTCTGTATCAATGATACGGGGTCCGGTGTTGGAAAATTGCGAAAGCCTCCCGCCGGACTGGGTGACGAAAAGTGGGGTTTTAGTAGGAATTAGGAAGGTAGACGACAGGAGAGCTGAGCGACCGGAAACGACCTCCTGAAGGACTCAGGCCCTCCTCGAGTCCTGCACAACGTGCGTCAATGCATTTCCCCACGGTAGAAAATACGACGAAGTCAGGGTGTCCGCACCCTGGCCAAGTCCTCAGCGCGCTGACTGTTCACACATCATGCCCCTCTGGGATCACTGTGAACGTTGGCACTCTGCGCCCACCCCTCTACGACTGCTGTAGAGATGTCCTGAAGCTTGAAACTTCGATTCTTGGAGGCAAGCAGTGCACAATTATATTCCCTGCGTCATGCAATGCGACTCCCAATTGACCGCCGCATCAACCACAGCCTCGTCTGAGAGCCACATGAGCGACCGCTTTCCGGAATGACAGAATACTAGGGCCGCTCAATTCTTGAGGACGCAGGACGCGTTCAGAGGCCATTGATGGATGTGATGGGCTAGCCGAACCTGCCGCATACGGCAAGGTACCAACCTCATTTCTCGTGCCCGTTGTTTTCCAAGAGGTCTGTCGTGTCCCAAACCTCACATAAAAAATATAAATCGCGAGTATGTTGAAGACGAAAGCCTTCCGCGTCGATTGACACTACCCTTGAGGCACTTTGTGAGGGGGGAGGAGTGTTATCGTCGCTCGAGGGGTTTCTTGTCGGCTAGTCTCGCTTAGCCCATCACCTCTATCAATGGCCTCTGAACGCGTCCTGCGTCCTCAAGAATTGAGCGGCCCTACTACCCCTCCTGTGGATATCTTGAGCGTAGCTTGATGGAGACGACGAGAGTTATAACGGGTAAATCTGCGGAGGCTGCCAGCGAAATTCTACATGCGATAAGTGACTTCTTTAGACTTTGACGTAGCCTAATGAGTACAAGAATTGCCATCACGCAATG